GGAGGCGCTTCATTTCTGCAAGTGTTTCTCGGCATGCGTCGTCCCACCCTTCCTTCATCTTAGGGCTGGACCTCCTCAAAGGTAGGACCTTTTCTGTCGCTACATGGATTGCGGAGACGATGTGCTGGACATACTCATCGAGCGCTTTCTTCATGTCTGGCCTGCGTTGTGGTGTGAGGACCTCCTTTAGGGCCTCACAGAACTTTTCTTCGTCTAGGTGTTTCCACGGGCGTTTGGGTTTGGGTTCTATCGTTCGGATCCTTGTGTCTAGCGTGATGCCGATCGGTAGGTGGTCAGAGTCATGGTTAATGTCCTCATCTACCCCGCAGCGGACTATCCGGTCGACCAGACCTAGTGTCATCCAACAGAGATCTATGTTTGTCTGACCAAGGCCGTTATTAAATGTGATTGTGCCTGGTTCCAGCACATTTATCATGTTGAGGTCGTCCATGATCTCAATGAGTTCCTCTGACTCTGGCTCTTCCCTTATGACTTCTGGGCCCCCCCATAATTGGCGGTGTAGGTTGAAGTCGCCGAGCGCTATCTGCTCTTTCGTAGCGTGTTTCCCTAGCTGGGTTCGTTGGACTTGTAGGGTGGCCGCCTGGTCTTCGCCTTGGCCTGGGTTGTACACATTATGCAGTATCAGCTCGTTTTCTGCCTCCCCTTCACCCGTGAGCATCCGCAATGTGCATAGGTCTCGCGTGCATTGCTCGATTTGCCAGCGGGCGTGGTCTAGACGCTTGTTGATGAAGAAGCATACCCGCGCCGGGCGTTCCTTCGTGTTATCCGTCGGATAGCAAAGGTGGAAGATGTTCTTTGCTGGGTGGTGTGTCGTGTCTTCGAATGGATTGCGCCAGGGTTCTTGAATTGCTATTATATCATAGGTCACTATGCTTGGGTCTCGGAGTAGCGTCGCCATGACCTGGTTCTTTGATTTGCAGACGTTGTACTACAGTATCTTCAGTTAGTCATGTTCCGTCATTGGTCACTGTCGCTGTCAAGGTCCATATTTTCGGTGCTGCGGCGTGTTGTGATGTTTGAGTCAATCATTTCCTGCGCTTTCCTGCTAGGCTTTGGTAGCCTCTGCGGTCGCTGATTCGACCCCTCGTTTTCTTTTCCCTCCGGCGCCGCCCTCTTCTGGCCTCTGGCGGAGGCATGGGTCGTTTTCATGTCCCGTGTTGACCTTGTCCTCCGCAGTAGGGGGGGCGCGACAGCAGCTAGCGTGTCGCTTCCCATCGCTGGCACGACCGCGTGGTATCGCGGCCTACTGGCGTAGGCCGCCCTTACCTTGGCCAGCTCGTTTTTCCTGGTTGGGCACAAGCGGTTCCACGCCTCATGTGTGCCGTGGCATGCTGCGCATTTCCTAGGGGCATCCCGGTCTCCTTTGGATGGGCAGTCCCTAGAATCATGTTCTAGCGCGCAGTAGCCACATGTCTTTGCTGCTTTGCATTGGGTTCCTATGTGGCCATATGCCTGACACTTGAAACACTCCTTCAGGCGGCACTGACGTTCATAGCGCTCGCTCTGGCACATCTCTCCTTGCCACACTAGGCCCTCATCGATAATCTTGTTGGCGTCCTCAGTCCTCATGAATTCTATGATGATTGAAGACATTGCTTTACTTGGTGCCCGCCGGGTGAGCCACCCGATATATTTGATCTCTGCGTCTAGGATAAACGGTTTATTGTCTTGCAGGATGGCGTTTCTTATATCTTCCTGCTTGTCCATGTCGACTGTACTGACCCGTATGCCGTATACTAAGACGCCGTAGGTCGGGTTCCTGACCGAGGACCCGCTACCAACTCGTGCTACCCAGTCGTCTGTGAATTGCCGCAGGAGCTGCGTCTCCTTACCTGTTGTTGTTCGGATACTGAGATCCCCGCTCTTTAATTGGTTAGCTGACATTATGGTGATGCCGGTGATGTGTTCGTTCTCGCTTTAGGTAATCGCTTGGTTGACGTGTGTTTTAAGAGTCCGCGGGTTCATCGCTCGTAAGCGTTCGATCGTGTGGCTATCCCTAATGTTTACTATGATCTCCCGCTTGTTCGGCGCGGTAGGAGGCATCCTTTGCTCATGTGTCTGTACGCTGTGAGCGCCTCTGGCCGCCGCCGCAGCGTAGCTCATAGGTGTCCCCTCTTGGGGTCGCATTGCTTTGTTTTTAATGTCCTTCGCTATGTCCACTGTTGTCCTGCTAATCGCCGTTGCTTCGAGGGCCGCTGCTTTTGCCTCCTCGCTGATGATTGCTGTCTTTTGGGCTTCTGTGGTAAGGCCGCGTATTCCCTCTTTTATCACCGCTAGCTCTTTCGCTAAGTCTTCTGCCCCTATTCGGAGCTGCGCTGGGATAGCACAGACTGCATCATGGACATGGACAAGATCAAGGGCTTGCTGTACCTTTGTCACGAAGTTGAGGGCCGCGAAGATTATTGATGTTACGGGGTCCAGCTCAACAGTGCGGCTGGGCGTGCTATGTACGAACTGCGCTGCCGCTTGAAGGTGCTTCGCCAGTTGGGTAGCATGCTCTGGCAGTCTGTTTGACCAGGACTCCCCCCTGGGCCAGGGAATCGACATACCTGTATTTCACGCGTTGGGCGCCGCGTCAGGCCTGTCAATTCGTCTAACTGCTAGATAGAGGAGTGTGTATGCACAGTTAGAACTACTAGATTCCAAGAATTCGCGTTCTCGCTGTTATGGTGTTTTTTCAAAAGAATATATGGACTATTATATAATTATTCTGTAGCTAATTTAGTACGGTGTTGTGATTATTGCCCTTAAATGAAGCAGTGTGATGGGGCGAACGGGCCACGGGCCTATATGGACCGCTTGCTTGGAATGGACGTTACTCTATAGGTCTAACCTTTTTGTTCTAACCTTTTTGTGACAAGAAATCTATGCGATTCGCATGGGGATGATTATATACCTGTCATGTGCGCAGATGATATTGGCTGCTGCCATTTTTACATCACATGCAGGAGGCAAGTTCACACCAGATTTTCACGGACCCCTTTGTTCACAACATCCTCTTTTCGATGGAGGATGCAAAGACGTATGAAGAGACGCATGTGCACTCGGTGTACGAAGAGATCGCTCTTCACTTCTCGTCAACACGATACAAGGTCTGCATTTCCATTATCCTTTGCCTTCTATCAGCTGACAGGGACAGCCTTGGCCCCTAATTGAGCGGTTTTTATCTTCACTCAAGCCTGGCTCAGTTGGTGTTGATGTTGGATGTGGAAATGGTAAATATTTACCGATCAACGATGATATTTTCATTGTGGCCTCCGATCGGAACGGCAAGCTTGTGCAAATTGCGAAGCAACACGAACCGCATTCGGTGCTGATAGCCGATGTACTCGATGTTCCACATCCAGCTGCAAAATTTGATTTTGCAATCTCCATTGCTGTGATACACCATCTCTCTACACGGGAAAGGAGAGTTGCAGCTATCAAGTCCATTTTGGACCTTCTTCGGTGGGACGGAAATACAAGCGGCACAGCGCTATTGTACGTATGGGCACTTGAACAAAGGTCTAGTCGCCGTGGATGGGACGAAGGAGACCAACAGGACGTAATGGTACCATGGGTACTTAAGAACAAAGGACAGCAGCAGAATAAGACTTACCAACGTTACTACCACCTTTACAAGAAAGGGGAGCTTGAAGAGGATGTTGATGCGGCCGGTGGCAAGGTCCTAGATTCTGGGTATGAGAAGGATAACTGGTGGGTATTAGCTCAAAGGACCACGAAAACTCGGGCTGAGATGAAAATGCTGGGGCGCATATACGCTCGTTCAAACCAATGTATGCAAGGATGACGCCTCGTAGTTATCCTTCTTAAGTCCTCCGAGGAAGCCGTGTAATTTGATTTCATAGCTCGCGTTAATTTTGAGGTTGTGCAACAGATGCTCATTTCCAACACCTCGTTATACAAACTTGCCCATAAAAAAGAACAACATAGTCATATTGTTGGGCAAAAAAATTCAATTAAAGTAACAAGCAAAACTGCACATATTCCATATAGCTTGATCAGGCTCGTTACAAAATGAGGCTAAAGAAACGAGCAAATAAACGTACTCAAAACATCCGCTGAACTGCTTTTACAACTAAACTGTGAGAAACCATTGTATATGCGAAGACCAACGACCTAATCTTCCTAGACTATCTGCACATTAATCGCACGTTTACACTGCACACATTGTACCATTTTTACGTAACTTACGGACCGAATCCGCAATCTGGCATGAATAGACTTCAGGTAGGTTGTGTTGTAGCCATAGGGCGACTTCGGAAAAAATGCACCAAATTAGCTAGTCAGTCAGGCTCAGAGCCAGTAATTAGCATAACTTTAATCCATGCGCGTCCTCCCAAAAATTCTTGACAAACCATTTGTTTCCACACAAAGCTGCGAATCTTTCTCCATCGCGCGCATTGCTGCTCATTACACCAGATCTAGAAAATTATTTTGATTGAACTATTTGTACAATATCCTTCTTTTCTTGTCTCCTGCTCTTTACTCATCGCTCGTTGAAAGGTTTCGTCGTATTATTATTCGAAAATGTCCCCGTCATACCCGTCGCCGAAGGTCGGCAATGCATCTTCGTCAGCAAAGCAAATCAATAAAGAGTCTACTGCTGCCCGTTTCTTAGGAGCAGGTGAGGGCTAAAAGCACGTTAGCCTTGTATACCTGAGATTAATCAATGCATACAGGATGTGCTGGAATTGCAGAGTTGATGGTTTTCCATCCAGTATGCGCTTATCTGCCCAGTCATTCTTGGAATAAGGCATTGACGTTGAATTCTAGGTCGATACAACGGCAAAACGATTAATGAGTAACCACGGTCGTATCACCTCCGCCTCGCAGCTGAATAGTGTCATTTTCCGAGAGCAGGCAACCGCGTCGGTGCCGAAGCGCTTATTGTCACTCTTTCCTGGTCTGGGCTACGCAGCCGCTTATAAGGTCCTGCAGCGTGTGTACAAGTACGGCGGTCAGCCTTTTGCGCGAGATTATTTGGCCAGGAATCATGGAGACTGGTTTGATCGCACATTTGGACGAGGTACTGGCAAAGCTTTAATGCATGCAACTGCTGGTTCCCTGATTGGCATCGGCGAGATTGTGCTGTTACCTCTAGACGTGCTTAAGATTAAGAGGCAGACAAACCCAGATGCGTTTAGGGGAAGAGGCGTGGTTAAGATCATTGCAGACGAGGGCTTCGGCTTGTATCGAGGATGGGGCTGGACCGCTGCTAGAAACGCACCGGGATCATTCGCAGTATGTTTGGTCTTTGTCTTAGTATTTCATGAATACTGACATAATGAGAACAGCTTTTTGGTGGCTCAGCCGCGGCGAAGCAATACCTCTACAAACTTCAGGACTATAACGAAGCCACGTGGATGCAGAACTTTATTGCCTCGATCGCCGGAGCATCTGCCTCACTCGTCGTCTCTGCACCTCTTGATGTTGTAAAAACACGCATACAGAATAGAAATTTTGACGATGCGAAATCTGGATTCAAGATTGTTAGCGACATGGCGAGATATGAGGGTGCGACTGCCTTTTTCAAAGGCTTGGTGCCGAAGCTGCTAATGACAGGCCCCAAACTCGTCTTTTCTTTCTGGTTGGCGCAGACGCTTATTCCCGCGTTCAACAAATTACTATAGAAGGACATATAGAGGGTCTGCATGACGCAGGTGTTAGAAATCGTGCACTATACTCACATTTTTCCGGGACATGCTGGGCAAGTAGTCCTTCTTACATCAATGGCACGGCTTTTGATTTAAAGTGATCTTATAGCTTAGGCTGTGATTATAGAGTATAAGCCACTTTGTGAACATCCCACCACTCCGAAAAATGCAAACTGCCTTCAGATTAAGCCTTTTTGATTTGTATCAACCACGACTTGAGGTCTCGCGATTGTAGCAAATTCAGGACGTTGTGATTCCGGCAGGGCCATTTTATGTAGCAGGCACCAAAGACCTGTGTTCAAATAAAATGGTACATCTGATCAAAGACTCGGACACCTGATTCAGGTCTTTTGATGCGGCGATCTAGGCATGTGATTCTGATTGGTCCGCTGCGCCTCAACCCAGTCTTCACACCTCTTCTTTCAGGGCGTGAACGAAACAACTAAAGCTGTATCCGTCCTCCACCAAAATCTTCACATCACAAACACATACCACGGCTATTGCGGAGAATTCGCCACCTTGGCCGTATACTTACCTTATCTCTCCCAAAACTCTTTGTCTTGCCTTGCTTAGAGACCTTTGAACTGCGGCGCTGCCAAGATGAACCCTGAGTAGTACGTAGTAATCTGCCCGCCTCTCCGCCCTCATCTGACATTAGCATAATGTTGGCCTTGTCTACAGGTATCTGTGGATATGATAATAGCTAACTTAAACAAGTGTAGAGCCTCTCTTGAAGCCCCTATATGTTACCGACCTCTTTGATTACGTACCACGAGTCTACCACCGATGCTGACGACAATAGATACGACTACCTCTTCAAGCTCCTTCTCATCGGGGACTCTGGCGTAGGCAAATCTTGCTTGTTGCTCAGATTTGCCGATGACACGTACACCGAGAGTTACATCTCGACAATCGGCGTGGACTTCGTACGTTGGAGCCTACACCAATGATTCCCTTTATGCCTCCTATAGCCCCCATCAAACTTAACATTATTGTTATATGCGAATGTCACAATGGGCATATTAGCCTTAGGTATCAGAGGGGTGAGCTAATAATGAGAATAGAAAATTCGCACGATCGAACTGGATGGCAAGACCGTGAAGCTGCAGATTGTATCTTGCCCACATTTTCCCTTGATCGATCCTGCGTATCATACTAATTCAACGGCCAGTGGGATACTGCAGGACAAGAGCGCTTCCGCACCATTACTTCATCGTATTATCGTGGCGCCCATGGCATTTGCGTCGTTTACGACGTAACTGACATGGACTCCTTTAACAACGTCAAGCAGTGGCTGCAGGAGATAGACCGTTATGCCACGGAGGGTGTGAACAAGTTGCTTGTTGGCAATAAGAGTGATATGACAGACAAGAAGGTTGTCGAATACACTGTTGCAAAGGTACCTTCATAAGAATACTTGTTTGAAGATATGCTCTGACCAGCTAATTTGCGTTTAACAGGAATTTGCAGATTCTCTTGGCATACCTTTCCTTGAGACCTCGGCCAAGAATGCCAGCAATGTTGAGCAAGCTTTCTTGACCATGGCCCGTCAGATTAAAGAACGCATGGGTGCGACGGCGAGCCAAAACAAAGAAAAGATTAACATCGGTCAAGGCCAGAGCGTGCAGAGTGGATCAAACGGGAGCTGCTGCTGAGCGAGTGGTTCATCAGCAGTTCAGAGTGAACTTTTGAGGGGGGCTCGTGGTGAGAGCCAAGTTTTTCGGGGGTTGGTGGCGATTTGAGGCACGCCCACATCTTCACAATGAGTTTAGACTGCTTTCGTTTCAACACTGTGAGGTTGGATTTGTATGAATGGAAACTCTATGATGGGGTGACTGTCACGGGGCGAAACCATGGAGCATTTGGGCTTTTCCACTGTCTGATTCGTTAAATGTATCTGAAATGTAATGTACTTGCGCGCGTTTTGGTGGGATCTGAACAGTGCTTTTGCCCATACGGCGTTTGCAAGAATGGACACACAAATTAGTCGACTAACACTTTCCGAACTGCTAAGCTGTGATAGAAATGGCCCTGGACAATTTGATGATTGCTTGATGGCTAGATCGTTTGTCTCAAGACTTGTCTGGCTCTCTTGACAATAATGAAGTCTGATTCGACCACATTTAACAACAGTCAGACCAATAATGAAGAGAAGCCCCGGAGACTGAATGTCTCGCTAAGGTCTACCTGCGAATTTGTGGCTGTTTTGCACGTACGTTCTCCCAAAACACTCCCTTTCTTTCGCAGGGCACAATGCTTTCTCTATGGACATGGGGCATCTTATGGAATCGACCGTAGTCAAACATTCACCTTGAAATTCATTTTGAATATCATTTCGGTGAAGCTTTCAGGCGAGAATTTGACACATTTGCCACTGAACATTGTTCTCAAGTCATGCTTAACCTCAAAGAGGCAAAGCGTCGCACCCTCTCAGTTTCCCCTCAAACCGCAACCAGTCCTTTGCACCCACTTGTCGGATCCTCTAACAGGTAGAATATTTTCTTCTCTTGCTCTACTTTCGCAACTTTGACTCACACATTTGCGTCGAAATCGAGAAGAAACCATAAGTCAACGATTTTAACCCTTTGCAAATGGATGTAGAGATCTGGATCATCGTCCTCGTCTCGTAATCTTTCAAACTTCTTGAAGACTCATTCGCTAGACATGGGCGGACGTCCAACAAAGAGGCGTCGAGTGGCCAATCCTTCGGAAAAGCCAGAAGCGGAATCGAGTCTTCTTTTCAAGCTTCCGTTAGAATTGCGCTTGCATATCTACAATTACGCTCTCAACGATGTCACTATTACCGTTGCAGATCAAGGGCAGCACATACATAACCCTGCTAATGACTTGTGTTGCAAAATCGAGGGACTGCCTTTGAGATATGTCCCACTGGTTACGAACACTTATAGCCCTGATAATATGATGATTGGGCCACCGAAGGCATTGTCCAATGAGCACATGCGAAGATCCTTGGATATGTTGGGGATGAACAATTCAGGGGACAACTCAATTACGCAAATGAGCATGGATTCTGGATATTCGAGCGCTACCAATAGCATTTACAGCAATCTTCAAGCCGCCACAATCAATCCATCTTTTTCAAACTTTGAGGGGAAGCTAGACAATGTCCAATCAGTCACGAATATCTCGCTTCTCCGAATTAATTCCCAGATTCGCAACGAGATGTTAACACATCTGCAGTCGCGGATGTGCACAAGAACAACTTTATATGTCACTTATCCATATGGTCTTTTGGTTCTTCGGCATCACTATCCTGCCCTTCTAAGGTATGCCAAAAGCGTGGTCATTACTGGGACCTATGAATGTACCGAGTCTGCTCCCCCTTCTCTCTCGCCTCCACCGGATTTGACTCAAGCAACAGCCACGAAAACCCTCCGACAGCTCGCAAATGCGTTATTCTCTTCTTATCGCAAGGTCACCCCAGCAACATTCTACGATACCATGCCAACTCTTAACCTGCGTATATTCTTTCCCGACGAGCGTCGCTACTCCTCTGTCTGGGGTGAGACTGGGAATCCTATCGTTGCAGCCATGCAGCTTGTTCCGGCAGGCTATATCGAGACCAAGACATGGCGAGCGAGATTGGGGAATGGTGTAACTTTGAAAGCTGGCCCACCTAAAACGGAAGGGGAGACGAAGTGGACGAGAAGTGTAAGTAGTGCGTTTCGGCGTCTGAAAGCTCCAAGGCCCCTCTGCAGTCGTTATCGAAGAAACAAGAAGAGTAGTGAGGATTTCTGGATGAGATCCTTCGGTGATGAGGAGATGTTTGAGCGTGATGTGCCGGAAGAAAGATGTTGGAATAGGGCTTGAGCATGAGTGTTCATTGAACAGTAATCGGCGCTGAAAAGATGATGTTCTTTTGCAAATCCATTAGTTTTAAGTTATTTGACAACGCCTTGAATGATTCGTGATCGAGCTAAGTCAATTGCCATATAGATTCCTTATTTCCGTTGAGGGTGTTCGCATTATGATATCAAACGTGCGATTAGCACATAAATTTTGATAATGTCCATTATAAGCGAGTTACATGTTGCCTACTTTAGATAACTGCGACTATGCAATCATTCATATATGTTGAACTCTCATAATAAGTACTGCAACTTTTACTGAAAAGTTGCAAGTTATGTTGGACACGTAGCTATTTGCACGCATTGTCTTGTACTAATCTGATCAACTGTCACCGAAAATCTGAGGAACTAAAACCGAATGAAGACTAGGCGTTTTGCCTAACTGGTTGACTTGCAGTACAATACACCACAGCCCGAAAGCTGGCCTATCAGTGTTCAGCTTCTTTTACCAGATTCGTATCTGCAATTCTCGGTCGAAGCTTCTGCTTCGGACACACTTCTATAAATATCGTGTGACTGAACTAAGTTGATGACCCCGTGAATACAATAGCATCTGTAGAAGAAGTCGAAGTGATCCAGTGCTGATCTCGCCTGTGAGATGATCATTTTGTATAGCGATTAGGAAGTGTTGGTCGGGCAAGTGGTACAAGAACAATTCGAGAAATTGCAGGATGAAAAACGGAAGAAATAGCTTGTGTGAAAAGCAGCACGACATCTTTTTCAATGAAAATTCGGTTCTTAAACATTTTCGTGATTAGAGAATTACAGTGGAAGGATTAGCTTTTTAGGCGAGCGGAACCCTACCTCGGACATGCGTCACGGCTATGATAAGGCTCATTGTCCAGCAATGTGCCCAACTCTGTTCATATTTTCTCTAAGCCAAACAGTCATTGGGACATCGTCTCTGGAGTGGATCAATGTGGAAGCTGACTTTGCTGCGCTACGTGTAATTGAAGGATATGAAGAAGTGCGAATCATTTGTACGTAGCTTGAATTTTAAAAATTGTTACAACAAGATGTTTTGCGTTGTGCTTAACTTACGCAAGGACTGTTTCTACGTTCTATGAAACAACCAGCCAGCTTACGAACCAAAAGTAAGAGGTCTAAGACATACCCAGGATTGTTGCTTTATTCGGCCGAAAGTTTCCTATCATGAGACAACTTACAATGCTCTTAACGCACAAACCTCGGACACAGAAATAGTAGGAAGGGGCTAATACATTTATTTTTGGAGCCAATAACATGCGATCAAGATCGCCCTTGGCCGCCTTCTCGCTCTTCGTTTTGCACGAGGCTGCCCAACTTAATTCAAGGGCTAAATCATATAGTGATATTCAAGCCACATTTGCCATGTGGAAAACCTTGTTTACATGCTCCAAAAAACCCTTGTTGTTTTAGACCGGATGCAGAACTTGAGCTGTTCGTGCGTTGATCAAGTCAGGATCAGATCAAACTAGACATCTTTGGAGCTACGAACTACGGGTTGAAACGTATTTCCGAACACGTCTCCCTAAGAAATGTGTACTGTATATCCAGAGATAAGGACAGAGGAAAAACTTAAGCAATATGCATTATCTTACGTTAAAACGACGCATGACCGTCTCAACCACCTAATGTCACATCGACAACAAGGATTAGCACCGAGCATTGATCCGTCGTTGAGCTACGTCAGACAGGGCTTGTGAGCCTCCATGAAGTTGAATATCCTTTACTCCCTCATCTATGGCCTTTCAGTATATACTATAACATTTTCGAGCAGCGGAAGAGGGGCGCATCTTCGTTTCTACGAATTAGCGTGCAATCCTATTCGCCCCCAAGCAATAATGCCTTAACCAAGATGAACGATCCATTTGCTCTGATCGCCTTCCACACTGCGTATGTTTCAGATGCGAGGTGCATCTCTATTCAATTCCCTTTCCTTGAGTACCTGCTTGCTCTTTCGCGTCCGTGCGTACAAAGAATATGTGTGTGATTGCCTGACGAAGTGGACTGTTTAAGCCTTGACCGCAATACTTTTCCTAAGCCGAATTGTCTGTTGGTACAACACATCCTTGAACGCAAACAAAAACGCGGCCGTCAGCACACTTTGCGTCACTTTTGGTACAATACCTGAGTTACATTAGCACATGCTCTTCCTTTTTCTCCCAACCAACAGCAAGTACGAACCTCCGTAAAGACCTTGCCAGCCTTCTTCCCGTACGATTCTGCGCAAACTCTCCGTCATGCCCTCTTTACCGCCCTGGCCGACGTGCATCCTGCTTTTGACTGTAATGTAGGGGTACGTGATGCTTGTGGCTAGCAGCTTGCCCAGCGCACCGAGATAGAAGCTGTCGGTGGGCGTGATGGGCCGTTTCCGTCTCTGCTCCAGCAAGTTCTTCATCTGTTCGAATAATGTGTATTGGAGGATTGGGTTGATGACAAGTACGAGCGCTGGGCCAACGCCGGCGAATAGACGCACCCAGCCCTCATCCCTAATGATGCACACGAGCGTACCAATAGTGCTCGGGGTCTTCTTGGTCGCTGACCCTCCAGGCAGAATCTGTCCCTCCGACTCTCTCTTGCGCGTGGTCATGCGCGTGTTGACGACCCAGATCGGATTGGTGCAGAAAACGGTCGCAGATCCAGCAATAGCACCGGCCAGCATACTCTCGACGGTGGTCAACTTCTTGCTGGCGCGCCCAGCCTTGACCGCCGCAGTCTCGAAGGCAGATCGACACCATTCGTACCAATAATAATAGACGAAATTTGTGACGCCAATGCCGAATAGGGCGCTGTCCAATCCAGCGAACAGACCCTGTACCCCTTCCCTTGCAATGATGGCGCGCACAGCATCCAAGTTAGACGTTGCAGCCCGCTTTGACTCTACTTGTGCACGCGTGGATAGTGTGATTAGTGGGTAGGTCAGCGCCATGGACAATAGACCACCCCCCGCACCGGCAAGTGCATGGGCGACATTGTCAGATTGTTGGGCACTGGAGGTGGGAGGAGTTTTCTGGGTAGACTGCGCTGCAGTGGACTTGATTTGCGACATCATTAATTGAAAGACAAGACATGCAGGCGACCGAGATTGAAAGATGGCTTTCGTTTCGCGACTGCGACACACGGAGCGAGTTGGGCTGTCAGATAGGCTGAGGATGTTCTACACCGCAAAGGAGCGTGAACGTAGTTCCTAGTGCGTCGGACAAGTAGGGATGAAGGGAGAAGAAGTGAGCTGCGATGGAGAAGTCGGTCGGAAGCGGAAAGACAATGAATGGTGATGCAGCACGCAGGCACTGCTCGGCTTTCTGCTGTGTTGATCGGGGGGGTCATTCATCATGCTCACGAGCATTGCCGAGGCACATTGGCATGGGGAAAAAGGGCATCCGTACGCGCACACACATAAATACGCAAACCCTGTGCTGGGGGGGATGGCTTGCACCTGAGGCTGGCACGTGTGTTACCTTGGGTGTCCGTGACCACCAGCGACACCAGTTACGCTAAAACTATGTGAAAAACACCTCTGTGACGACGATACGACGTGTCTGCTTGTGTCAGTTAACTTTTCGCACATCTTCTAAGTATTTCTCACATAATAAGAGGTCTTTTCGCATATTTCGAGAACATTTCCTGCACCCTTGGCCACGAACACGGCATGTCCACTTTTCAGACCAGAGTAGCTTCTGTGTCTCGACATCTAGAAGGCTCTCATTAGACCATACAATACATACATGGCCCCATATATATGTGAAAACGTTCATGGTGAGGTCGATCGCCTGCCTGGGTGCACAGGAAGTGAGCCTTTTCGCTCGGCGTAGAATAAACTGTCAGCTTTGATCCCCGGCTTGTCTTGAGATGCCCGTCTGCTTGGAAACGATTCGGAAGCACAGCTGTCATCAAAATACCGCATAATGCTTTACTTGCAACTGCAGAACAATCGTTATATCTCTTTCAGATACTTGAAGCTGCCAAAACAAAAGCCGACCTTTCGATTCATGAGTCCAAGGCATTTGCACCCATATCTAGATCCTGACCATTCTTGTTGAAATTCTCACGTATAGCGAGCTATTGTACTAACACACTAGTCTAAACTATTTCGCTCAAAGGGTACGTGAGATCAGCGTGGCCTGAAGATGGTGTGAACAGGCCACAGTACTGTGCATACATGGAACGGCGTTCAGAGTGTAGACGAAGGCGATGTTGTCGCAGAACACGACGATGGTATTTAATTTAAGCAAAGAAACCCGACTTCTGTGTTGATTCTGTTGAAGGCGAGAGGCGCAAAGATGTTGGTGGGAAGGGCGAGCTGTTGCACAAAGTAACTTGACTCACTCCTGAACCTCAGAAAGGTTCATGTGTGCTGAGATGTGATAACTTGATTGTCTTGAGACGTATCCTTAGACTCCAAATTACGATTTGTCAACAGCATGTTAATGAATTTACGAGTCAATTAGCGAGACTGTGAAAGACCAATGAACGGGACGAATATAGTCCATAAGTTTTGCAGCATTGTATTGGACATAGATGTTGTTTGTTTTCTATGGGTGGCAGAACCGCATGTGTGAACTAAGGTCAAGTCACGATAACCGTCAACTTACCGTGCTCCGTACTCCGAACACGAGTCAGGGATGGCGGCCAAGCTGTGGTAACTCAAAAGATACCCTTACCAGTACGTAGTATCATCGCCTGAATAATCAGAGGGTCTGCTCTGATTGTTTGTGCCCTTTACTCTTCATGGTCAAAGGATGCAGTTGATGCTCCTTACACAGTACATAGTGGCAACGCCAGTCTGATTTTTAGGCTGAATGTCTGCAGGTGGACCCCGCTCGCTTTCCCCTTGATGAACCAGAAGGGTATTTGATACCTCCACAAACAAAACAGCGATAAGTTAACGGCGGCATAGGCTTATTTGCGACCTGCTCTTACGATCGAGCGCTTACAAAGCACGTTTCTTTCTGGTTGCTTGCATTGTGCCTCAGACGAGCGCAAAACCAGACAAGCCTAGTCGACCTGCTGCAGCAGGCTTTGGTCGCTCAGCACATCTGTCGGCTTCTTCATTGGCGCGACTAAGAATAGATGCGCCAGCATTGCTGTGTGAAAGCCTAGTCCTGGCCCCCGTCCTTCCCGTTGCCGCCGCGTCGCTGGCTCATAACTTTGTAAACTCATCTCGCCTTGTGGTTCTTCCACCAGCAATCGATACGCCGGAGTCTATCAGTAATTCCTACCGCCAACACGCCAGAGAGTCGCATACGCGCGGGCACCAATTCGTGTTCAAAGCAAGAGAGGTCCAGCACAGCCGTCCCTCTCTCCAATGCTGTCGTCCGCTCGCGCAAATCCTCTACCGTGTCTCAATCCTCCGTTGCAATACCGCCTCGAATCTCGACGAAAACACGCAAAAAACCACCTCTTACGGCATTCCTCTCTTTGGCGTCGTTTGGTGGCGCCTAAATCTTCAATCAGCCCCTTATATCACATTGCCTCGTGGCTCAACGTGCACGCAATCCGAGACGGGTACTGCTAATCACAAGCGCTAAGTCAGTCGAGAGCCCTGTCAAACGTATCTTTGCTGTTGTACTTGGTAAGATGCAAACCTCAGCGCTCTCCCCCACACTCCAACTGCAAGCCCTAGGAAGTCTTGATTGCTTGCTCTTTCTGACTGCCCCAGCAGGACAGAGACGTCACCGAGACGAACATTCACCCGCATGCGCGCCCTTGCTTTCCATTCCCATGGACCCGGTCTCATGCGCCCGTTACGAACTGCCACAACGAGATCACAGCCCACCTATCATTCTTACGGCTCCTTCAGATAGCGCGTAATTGCAGTCACAAGAAGCAGCAAGGAGAGGACAGAGCAGAAGGAAGACGAAACAAAGAAGGCAACGCAGCAGAAGAAGACGATGAACTACTCGCAAGGCGGAGGAGCCAGCGACGTACAACATATGTCCAGGCATGGTCACCAATATTCAACGCCGCAGAGTGCTACCGCACCCTCCTTTCAATACTCGCAACGCATGACACACAATTCGTCCGGCATGCATCAAGCTCACGTCCAGCATCAGCAGCAGACGTACTTCTCAGCGGACTCTGGTAACGCAAGACAGTCGCTGGCTACGCCCTCCACGCCCTCGCAAAATGCCTCCCCGCGCTTCTCACACGCATCCAGCCCGAGGGGGCAAACTTCGCAAGCCGTGCAGCTGTCCTCACAGAAGCAGCGTTACTCCCAGTCGACGAGCTCGTATGTACCCACAGACCGATCGCTACCCTCTCGTGACGTAGCAGATGCAACCTTCGACCAGGCATACGAACAATTTATCCTTTATTGCAATCCGTCGTTCCCGCTAACAACCGACACTGCAGAGTTGAAGCGCGTGTTTCGCACCCCACCGAAGAGCGACGGCAAGAGCTTCAGCACGTTCCACTTATTCGAGCTGCTCAAGAAACTGGAGAATAAAGAGCTAAAGACATGGACGGAACTTGCGCTTGAGCTGGGTGTTGAGCGGCCCAGTTTCGAGAAAGGTCAGTCTAGTCAGAAGGTGCAACAGTACAGCGTGCGCCTTAAGCGCTGGATGCGCGCTCTGCATATTGACGCCTTTTTTGAGTACCTTATGGGCAAAAACCACGCATATTACCAGGCGATCCCACCACTAAATGATCCTTTTCCGGATGCTCGTGACGGCGTTCCTATAGAAGAAGATCTGGCCATACGCGCTATCGACCCGAAGTTCCGGCCGAAGCGAGGGAGACGGCGCGCCGATGAGCAAGACGATGATTGCGTGGAGCCTTGGTCTGCTGTGGAGCCCAAGAGACCGCACCTAGATACTGCCTTTCACAACCGCAACGACGCCTATCCTTTGAGCGTATATCCGTCAAGCGCAGTACCAATTACTGCACATCCGGAATTTTCTGGCAGTGGTGGTTCAGATTCATGGGCAACACTGAACACGCCTACGAGCGCTATGGCACCCCGCACGTCACAACAACTTCGATGGAGAAATGAGACGCCTTCGACGCCGCATCCCCTGTCCGCCGTGACACCTGTGAGCGCGCATCCGGATAGCGCGTGGGATACCGAAACGCCTTCCACGGTCACACCGTCAAGCGCGAGGAGCGCCAGACGGCGGAGACATGGCCCTGCGGTGTCGAGCGCGTGGCCGAGTACAAACACAACAGTCAACGGCAAGTTAAGAGGGAGGCCTCCAAGTAATCGTAGTGTACGGGACGGTCCATTTGTCACTTTCCCTGCAAATCCCAAGACCAAGGAAGCACCTGTGATTGACCTAGGTTCATCCAGACAGCGGAACGAGGGGTGTAGGAAGAGTGAAGAGGAAACAACAACGACATTTGGCGCCACGGAGAGTCCGAAGCCTGCGCCAGTGGCCGCGCAAGCGGAGCACCAATTCCTCACACCACAATTGCCTACACCTATCAGTGCGAGCAGCACGACACTGCCCATGCCTGCTCGTCCAATGAGCCACGCGGGCGCGGCTCGACCAGAACGACTCCAGCTGCAAGTCCCCAAACATGAAGGAGGTCCTGTGCGCCTTGTTACTCCCACTCTGGTCGTGAACGGTCAATTCGACGATCAAACTTCGCGACAGCAATTACCCACTCCTGCATTGTCTACCCCCCAACAGAAGACGTCCACCTTGAGCACTGCCCCGACTGCGCACACAACGGCCTTAAGTCTTTCTGACGATCTTTCGCCGACTGAAGGAACTGCATCCGCGGAGCATAACCAACACGTCAATTTCCACATACCTAAGAGGATCCAACATTCGTTCCCATTTTCAAAGACAGAAACTGTGACGGCATCGAATGAGCCGTTATTGTTTGCCCCTGGGGCCGAAGATCTCAAACGAGCGCTGGTGACAAGTCTTTTGCATGCGGAGATAGAAGGGAGGACGAAACGTCTGCAAGGAACGGAGGCTAAGGATCTTGCGGACTCTATACTGGCAAAGCTCAACGCAGGAGGCCAAAGCCAAACAGACGAGCTGCACAGATTCTTATGTGCTTCCTGGCTCGGTATACGCAATGGTGGTGCAAATGCACCACGGCAAAGAAAGATCTTAGTCCACCGTTTCCGCGTTGGTGGAGACGGATATGATTCTCCCCTCGATGACGAAGCGACTCTCAGTGAGGGCGATAAAATCCGCGAGACGTTCGATGTTGAGTGGGCACATAGCCTAGGTGGCATTGAAGGCCGCTTCGCGGTAAGGGGTGTGTCGCTGCAGCATACAAGGCTGGGAACAGAGCAAGACAGCGATATGAACATAGACGATGCTGGCGAAGAAGGGTGGCGAGAGAGATATCTGCGAGCCGAAGCGCAACGGAAGGCGCAGCAGGAGGAGCTGGAACAGCTCAAAGCGCGGATCCTTGACGTGCTGGTATGATCTCTTTCTTTACTTTCCTTTCCAGGTCTCATTTCTCCCTCTCACCCTCTCGTCTTCAGGATGAAGAAATTGGAAATCGAACCGGGTGTTCACACTGGCGCTTGGGCATTACATTTCTCCGGATCCGACAAACGCTTGCATGAAGCCGCCTAAATGTAAAGAAAGGGGCGATTTATTTTGGGCATGGAAGGAACACGAAGGTAACCACAAGTCATGCCAGGCATAGTATGTACATGAAATGCCACCGTTAGTCTCAATGCTTGACGCCTGTAAGTGATAGATAGGGACAGCCTGAACTATCATCTGTTCTTATTAGCATCAACATCATCCATGTATCATATATACGAATTATCTAGCCATTTGTACAGTATTCCCGGTGCAATAATGGAGAAGATACCCATTTAACTTTTCACTTAAAGTAATTCACCACCAAGTCGCGCAGCATAAAAGCCATTAAGAACTTTAAATATGTATAGAGCAACCATCAAATAGTATACTAGTAATCCATCCTAAATTTAATATGTTCTGAAGCTAGATGATCATATCTACAATAAATGAAACATGTAATTTGCGGTATTGCAGCTGTAACTGGCGCTTTATATGGTTCTTGAGCCGCCTCAACCACTACTGTCACGTACGGCGTGACAACGGCGTGGCGCAGGCGCCACGACAGAACGGGGGTCACGAGGACATCTCGTGACCACCTACGTACTTGTAAGTTAGACGCCTCGGGCTTGGCGACACGCAGGCGGTGCGACGGTGAGACGCACGTGACTACTTCGCACACATGTATTTAAGGCAGCTCAGAGGAGAATCTCAGGAGCTAGCGGATATTCTTGAATAAAACTATCTATCTCACACTTCTATCACCAATCCCTTACAACTACTGCTGCCTCGCTATTTTCAGTAGACTATTCTAAAATTATTAAATAAACTGAGTAGCCTAAGTAATAGTTAAACCGGTTGCCCTACTTATCTGTCATCTTTTCAATTGCCGCTTTTTTCTTCTATAGTTCGTTGGCTGCCCTTAATCTCTCATTCTCCAAAGTAAGTAAGTTAGGTGTTATGACCATAACACGTGAAACACCAAGAACCATCATTATTGGTTCGGGAAGAAAGAACCAATTGAAAGTGCAGTAGCGCTCATTAGGTCTTGGCATGAGCGCGCTCACTGTGCTCATGGGATGAGCAGGATGAGCAGTATTTTCCTATGTCTATAAAAACACTTAAAAATTTCTCCCTTTTGGAACCCCGTAGTTTAATTGTCTAGTTTACCTAGTAGTTAGTCTGAATACTCTCTCTTACTTGAAAGCTCATACTACCCTAAGTCATAAAGCTGGACTATTTTATTGTCTCTCCTCTCTCGATAAGCCCTAGTTCTGTCTTGTTCCCTTTGCTCTAGGAAGCTCATCCCTTCCGAAGTGGCTTACGATAGTGAAGCTAGTCGGTATAGGGAAAGTATTCCTAACAGAATGAGAGATTAAGGGCTGCTAATGAACGACAGAAAAAAAAAGAGGCAATTGAAAAGACAACAGATAAGTAGGGCTACCAGCTTAACTATTGCTCAGGCTACTCAGCTCATTTAACAATCTCAGAATACTGAAAATATTGAGGCAGCAGCAGTGGTTGAGGAGGCTCAAGAATCACGTGAAGCGCCAGTTACAGCCGCAACACCGCAAATTACATGTTATATTTGTTGTGGATATGATTATCTAGCTTCAGAATATATGAAATATAGGATAGATCACTAATATATTATTTGATGGTTGCTCTATATATCTTTAAAGTTCTTGATGGCTGTTATGCTGCGCGACTTGGTGGGGTGCACGACTTGGTGATGAATTACGTTACCTTTGAGACGTTAAGCACAGTTGCATGTTCATTGACGAAGTAAGTGTGGCCACGGTTCCAATGTTTATCGCTGAGTCATCTCCCAATACTGTGCACTAACGTATTATAGCTGTCCCTTGGAGATCATATTTGCCACAACCAGCCTTCTCAAATGTGAGCACGCGGGCAGCGAAGTCCAATACGGACTGGTTCGTGGCCTTGAGAAAGATGCTGGAATGCGTCTGATGGATTTGCACTTGTCAAGTCAGCAAAGGAATCCACGGAGCTGCGCGCTCCAAGTCTGCATGCTCCTAGGGTCGCCAGGACACTCCGCAATAGCGTGCTTGTTTGAGAAGAGATAAAAAATGAGTACTTCTTTCAGCGCCTGACGAGTGGTTAGTACCTAACTGAAATGAAATTCACCGCGGAGAGAGAGTGTGTGTACAGATGGACGGTTCTCTACATAGCTGCGACAGGCTACCTCAAGTCTCTTCACTGCGGACGGGGATCTTGAAGGTCTGCGTGATCTAAGGCGCGTTGAGGTCCGACGGAGAAAACAGCTTAACCGCGCTTTGTTGGCATTAATGTCATCCCAATTACAGCTCAAGACATTGAACCTGAGGCTTGAGTATGTAAGCAATGACGGCAACTTGCGCCGTTTGGTCTACAAATAAGCTTTTGATCAACAATAGTGTGCTTGCGCTTGACCAGGAAGGGGAAGGAGAAGCAGTCGGGTACTTCGCACTGTTCGACTGCCTATGGAAAAGATGCGGCCGTGTCAAGGAGATGTTCCGTCCCGTTCAGTTCTGTACAGTGCAACTTCAGCGATTGTCTGAGGCACATCAGACCAAAGCATAAGGCTGAGTGAGGCGAGCGGGCAAATGAAGAAGCCGACACGGGCACTCACAAAAATCCTGCTAATGTGCATGCGTTCGTAGCCAGCCTGCTGCCTTCTTATTCAGGACATCTCCGCATCGGATGATCAAGTCTCTCTGCAACACTTCAATGAAGGTGGTTTCTGCCAGCGGCACACACCATATAGACGGATCTTTGGTTACTCGTTGTGCAGGATCTGCAGGGTTCCGGCAGCCATGCGTCTTTTGGATGGTTCCAGAAACAGAAAGGAGAGCTCCTATACAGGCATGTCTGCCTCAGGCAACTTCAGCCTCATTGACCCCATAATTTTGTCACCTTCATGCTCCCTCAAACGCAGTAAACAAATCCTCATCTAAACTGTCGACTTCGCTTGCACCATCAATCCCTTCTCGCATTTCCTTCCAATACCACCTCGATATCAAGAATTCTACAACGTCTGTCACCGTAATGGCCTCCCTTGCCAACAAAATTCTACCCTCCGTCGTAACTGGAGCAGAGTCCAAGTCGGCTCACAAGAAGAAGGCTAAGGCTGCAACCGATGCTACGTCCTCCACACCTGACGGAGACCGATCTGGTTCTGTTGCGGGCCTTGATTCCGATTTGAAGACAGAAGGCGCCTCGGGAGCGGAGAATCCATACATCAGGGACTTGCAAAAGTGCGACTTCTCTTCCCACAAACTGCACGAGGCTGTAACGCTTTACTAACCGGCCACCAACAGACGGATACGCAACATCAACAAGAAACTGGTACGTGTAGGATGCGCCAAGATGCCCTTCTCGAGCAGACTTGGTGTTGCAGAAATGAAACCATCATGCTCACGCGACACATTTGTAGACTGCCACTTCCAAGCTCGACACGATCCTTTCTGAAAACCCAGGCAAATCCCTGGACGAACTCGTCGCGGCCAGAATCATTAACCCCGATCAGAAGGCCCAGGCGCTGAAGAAACCCTCGCTGCAGGCCGAGCTGGTTGCAGTCGAGGACCAGTTGGTGAGAGCCAAGGAGATGGAAGCCCAACACCAGGATGCATTAAATAGAGAGCGGGAACTTCTCAAGTCGCAACATACAAAGGAATTACAAGAGATGAAGCAGGCCACAGAGGCAAGGGTAAAGCTGGAAGCGGAGCAGGCTTTCAAAATTAAACTTTTGACTTTCGGTCGCTTCCTAAAAGCTGCAGCCGCGCGTCGATCAGAAGGTGAGGAAGAACTGGACCTGGACGGCAGAGCATTTGAGGGTGTACTCTCAAATGTCTACACTGGTGACGTTTCTGCTGTGGAGGCCATCGAAAAGCTTATAAACGGTGTCAATGAGAAGATCCGCGACTATATTGGCGAGATGGATGTTACGTGTATGCGCAATTTCTCCAGTGTCCTTTCCGCGGAGGCTAACATGAGACTGCAGATGCCAGGATCAAGGAGCTAACCTTGAAAGAGGTCCCCGTAGAAGACGAGGATCCTTGGTCTGCGAAAGCAGAAGTTCCTGTTGATTCGCTGGCCGCAACTACCTGCATCACTTCTGACGATGCACTTCCGTATTCAGCAGACCCTACCATCTCCAACGCAGCGCTTACAAAGATGGGCGACGCCAAGACGATACCTAACGGTCAGTCAGCAGAAATAGACGTGCAAACCATTACGCCTGCCACGGGCGACATTGGCAAGAATGCTGGCAATGTCGCTGCTGAGGAGCAATGGGACGCAAAGCCCGCTGGTGAGTCGTCAGCTGGCATGGAAGATTCCTACGAAATTGTTCCACGGCCTACAGACGAGGTTGAGAACAAGCAGACCACCCCCACTGCACCGGCTAGCACGCAGTCGTGGGCTGAGGAGGCGCACGCGGCTGCCAACAACGGTCAAGCGGCTAGCACGAATGGTAACGACGGATTTCACGAGGTGACCCACCGTGGCCCTCGCCAGCATCGTGGCTGGGGTCCAGGCGATCGTGGCCGTGGCCGTGGAAGTGGAAGGGGTAATTTCCGCGGGCGCGGCGGTGAACGAGCAGACTTCCGAGGCCGTGGACGAGGTGCCCCTCGAGGGGCACTCAGAGATCGGGGAGACTAAGCCCGCTCCCAGCTCCTTGTCATCCCTTCTCTTTCTGTCCTCGTTTGCTAAATGCGTTGTTGAGCCGATGATGGGGGACTCAATGAAAAATCTTTCTCTCACTCTTCAGGATTGTCATGCAGGGCAGAGAGTAACACATGCATAAGCTCCATCAACATTTTGAACGAACGAGCCAGGATTTGGTGTTCTAAGCAGAGATTGCCGCGGTATATCTGCTTCTGCTCTACAATAATCTCGATGATGTTGTTAGTCTTCTAGCAACGACCCATTTCCACTCCATTGGATACATAACACAAGACAAGCACTGTACGATGTCTGTGCACGTATATCTACATCGTCATTACTGGTTGCAAGCGTTGCAGGTTCTCTCGTTTGGAAGCCTGCTATCCAGCATCAATTGTGGAAAGGGTGAAGGAGACTACCTGGCCAGACTGCTTGTTCGTATACTTGCGCTCATTTCCAGTAGTCACGCCTACAAAACACGGACACCAACAAAATGAGTTCACTATTATTCTTTCATGGCATAGCGTGGCGACGTGTATGAAACTTTTATATGCACATATGTATGTACCATCACTTTCGCAACCTTCGTCATCATCTTCATTACCTGAAGCACGAGAACCAAAAAGCGCTTTAAGATTAAGAAGGGAAGGGAATCGAGGGATCAAAACAAAGCCTGATAAATATGACACGAATGTTTCTTTGCATCATTTCGAAAAGCGGCGAGCCGAAAAAAGGCTACTCGTAGAATAAGAAGACCTAAAGGTCACATCACAATACATTGTGTCATATCGCAACGAAAGTTAACAGAGTTGAGCGCTCGGTTCCGTTACGGAAATACTGTATCTTCTGAGGAGCGCAGTATAATTATTGCACGAGTGAAGAGGCCTGAATTGGAAAAGGCCCAAGGACTAACTTTCAACTTCAGTTGATTACTTACCAGGCCAAGCAGGAGAAGGTTTACGGCCCATTCCCCAGGTTCCTCCAGGTATCAGCTGCGGACAGAATGGGAGCTGCAAGTCCAGGAGCTGCAGCCACTACCAGAGTGCGTTTACGAGCAACGTCTCATACACGCGCACAATGTACTTCTCGAACCAATGTTCCCAGCTGCAGGTATGCACCTCGTCGTCTGGCTCTGGTCCAATCGTCAGCCGCGCCGCTCTCGCGTTAATGTCGCGATTCATCCCCAACACAAGGTCTGAGAAAGAAGGGTGACGAGATGAGGAAGAGGTGAAGAAAGAGGAAGTGGGAGGGGGGGGGGGGGGGGGGGGAAGATGAAAATGGGGGCACGTCAAGACTTAGAATTGACGAAGAGAATAGGAGAAGGAGGACAGGTCGAGGTATGTTATCACGGGGAGAGGGGAAGAAGGAAAGGATGAGACGCTTCGATTTCGGCTGTACGTACCAGTCTCCTTGGTGTTGAAGTAGTTCTCGCCGTGTTCCCAGTAGCGCAGCAGCTCTACGATTTTGACGTGGCCGTTCCGAGTCAACGTGGGGTCGGCACCGTGCTCGAGGAGCAGCTTGGTGGAAGCGATGCGCCCGTTCTGACAGGCGAGGTACAGCGGCGTGAGCAGGGCGGCGACGATTGCAGCCGAGCCGTGCGCAGCTGCCTAGTGCAGGCCGTGCTTATGCTCGCAGTTTGACGCTTTTCAACTGCGGCTGCGTGGGCCAGCACCTTGCTGGTAGCGGTAAGGTTGGCGTTGCGCACGGCGTACTTGAATGGTGTCTCCAGATGGACGCATACCGCGTTCGGGTCCACGCCGGACTCTCCCACGATGGCGACCGAGCGGGTCTGCCCATGCTTGATGGCCCAGTGCAAAGGTGTGCTGAGGCGGAAGTTGCGTACCTCCAGGTTTGCGTTCGCATCCAGCAACTCGACAATCGCCGCAACGTTATCTGCATTGGCGGTTAGGTGGAGCGGCGTGTTGAGCTCCGTCCAGAGGGCAAGTCGACGTGCATGGCAAAGTGAGGGTCTTCGAGCAGGACCTTCAGCGCCGACAGGCCGTCTTCGCACTCCGCTGCGTAGTGCATGCTGGTCATGCTGTGCTTAAGGAGTCAGGCGAGCTCGTTTTGGAAGGCGGAGTGCTTGAGGAGAAGTTTGATGATGGAGATGCTCTTGGAGCGCACAGCGAGAGACAGGGCGTGATCGGTCTCGTCTCCCGCTTTCTGCGCTCCCCGGGCGCCGACAGTTGTGCACCGGCCTAAAGCAAGACTTTACACGTGTCCACGCTGGCTATTCATATCGCTTGCCCAGGTGGGCTAGACAGGAAGCAATCGTGAGGGCAAGACCCGTTGATCGGTGCTCCACGCGTCATGAGGAATTTGGCAAACCGCGCATCAGAGTATGTAATGTCTGTGAACTTTTTGCTGGCCTTGTGTACTTGTGTGATAGCGCAAAGATAGTCTTTTGCACCGATATTGGCCTGGTCTCTGACAAGCTGTGTAAGGGAGTGCACGTAAGCGTGATAGTAAGATGGTGAACAGCGGTTCTGGATTGTGTCAAGACTGACAACTGATGAATCCTAACTAGGATGGGTCAGGGTAAATGACAAATCAAATCAAATCAAATCAAATCAATCATATAGCTGGTGCGGTAGTAAGGCACACGTGACTACTTCGCACATATGTATTTAAGGCAGTTCAGAGGAGAGACTCTCAGGAGCTAGCGGATATTCTTGAATCAAACTGTCTATCTCACACTTCTGTCACCAATCCCTCACACACGGTCGCGTCGGACGCGTTGATTACCGAGTAGTTGGCCACAAACTTATAATAATAGAAGAAGAGACTCTAAGAGCATGGTTATGTAGCATATCTGATCGAGGCTATTTATTATCACCAGCAAATCTGCGATTAGCGGCTAATCTATTGCTACAGAAGCAATGCGGACCAAATTGTTAGGAATACTTTCCCAATACCGACTGGCTTCACTAATGTAAACCACTTCGGAAGGGTTTAGCTTCCTAGAGCAAAGGAATAAGGTATAACTGAGGCTTATTATGAAAGGAAGTATAATAAGACAGTTATGTTTATGGTTTAGAGTAGTATGAGCTTCAAGATATGAGAATGTATTCAAACCAACAAACTAGATAAACTAGACAGTTGAATTACGACTTCCGTAGCGACTGGGGAAATACCTTCTTTTATAGAAAACGAGATTGAGTGATCACCCCGATCACTTCCTGTATCTTTAATTCGTCAGGACCCCATTGACAAATCACAGTCCCTTAGTTTATGCAGCCTGATCATCCTGATCATTCATGGTCAGTATGATTATCTCACGTGATTCCTATGTTACTTCGTAACAATTTAACTGGGTAGTGCTTGAAAAGATACACAAGACCCTTGAAGTCTTCTATACCTTAATAATGAATATGCAAGGCGCTGGTGATACTGCATCATGCTATCTACGCGTTCTCGACTATATGATGCATCGGCTTGACGACTATCGCTCTGACTATGCTGAGCTTCGCAAGCAAAGTCCTCAGAAGCCAGAATGGAGTCCTCTATATGCAGTATGCGATATCTCATGGAATAAGTGTAAGAAGTACTTTGATAAGATTGATGAGATACTAGCATACTATATAGCAGTTATACTAGATCTAAGTATCAGGCTTCAATAGCTTCAGAAGACATGGCATGATAGCTTAGATCCTATCCATAAGCAGTGGTTTTATAATGCTCTTCTAGCTGTAAAGTCCCTATGGAGAGAGGAATATAAGGGCAAAGTGTCATTAATGTAATCACCTGAATCACAATCAGTCCGGATGGAATCATGATTGTAAGAAGAGCAGGAGTTCTTCATGCACATTACAGTGGACTATTCAGACTTTTCTGATGCAGATGCACTTGACAAGTATCTTGCTGGTTTGCCTGTTAAAGCTGCTGATCTAACTGTATATGTATAGGAGATTGAGCGGACTAAGCCTGATCTTGCAGTATATTTATATGATATGGCAGTAATCCCTGCTATGAGTGCTGAATGCGAGCGCATATTTAGTAGTGCGAAGATCCTCCTCAGCGACCACCGCAATCGGCTGAAGCCTATCATGATTGAAGCCTATGAATGCATGCGGTAATGGCTGCTATCTGACGCTGGCGATAACGACCTCCTTAAACAACCGATCATATAGTACGATAAAGATGCTATTAATGATGCAAAGAAGATACTAAAGGAGGAGGAGGATGCTATTGAAGATGGTTTAGATAATAGTGAATCTAAAGATAGCAATTGGGGCGGTGACGACTTTCATGGTATATATTATTAAGGAGAGGATTAGAGGTATAATCTGTGATATATGCTATAGATATAGCTAATATTCTGTAGTAGAAATCAGGCGAACATCACCACTATTATGTCATCTATTATGACTTTTGCCACTATATTACCCCATTGATGGATCAGATTTGGATGGATTTCGCGATTTTATGAATTTGGATCGGGTTCATCTATAGGGGATTTGGATTACATCGAAAATCCAGCCAAATCCAATCCACGGGCATCACTGGATGTTAATAGACTATATTTAAGCCTGATAGCTCTAAGGGACTGGAATATGGATTTGTACTGCATCAGGTCTATAATTTCATATACATGTGTGTAAGCCTGATAAACCCAGCAGCAATTTGTCAATGCTGCCGCAGGGAGACTAGTTACTAAATCCGTGCTTTCATCCTGGAGCCTTACACCTGGCCTGAGTCTTGTAGAGCGAGCGACCGAACAGTCCACTCTATTTTCCTTGGGCCTTCATCCTTGCCAACATCTGAGACGACATTCGCACGGGAATCGGCTTCCCTACTTTGTGTGCAGTCTTCATCGTCATAAGCATTGCTGTGTCAGCTGAAACATCCATGAGACGGTCAGATCTTTCGATTATCCGCTTTTTCTTCGACATGGGCGCCGCATCGAGTGCCTCGTTATGTTTTGCTGTCGCGAAGCCTAATTTCTCTTGTTGAAACAGCGGCTTTGCTTTTGGCGTATGTACGGGCGAAACGCTGTCATGCGGATGCACCGTGGATGTATCATTAGATATTTTATCATGCTGCAGGCGGGACAGAGAATTCGCTGGAGCTCCTGCATTCAGTCTTTTGACCGGATTTCTACTGGAAGCTGATGGTGCTGCGTTTGCAGATTCATTTCCTTTCAATGAAGGTGTTCTCCTGCTTCCATATGTAATCCCAGGTGCTTTAAGAAAAGCATTTTGAACCGTTGAAGTCTTTTGGACAAGTACATTTGGCTTTCGATTTGTCCGAGGCGAAAGTACTCCTTGTTCGGTATCTAATTCACGCTGTGCATTATCCGAAAGCTTGATATGGTCTTCAGTGGCTGGTCGTATCGCAGCGACGTATTGCTGCAGCATATTCTGCAGTACTTTTGAGGGCACAAGGACTTGCGACGCGATCCGAGCTTTTTCGATGCCGGAACCACTTGTGGAGGGGGAAGTTTTTTGCAGCTTCAGACGTTCTGCTTGAGATTCATCATCCCATCCCAGTGCAGTGTTCTGCTGTTGCTGCTCTGCCTCGCCGATCATCTTCAGAAAATCGTCTGTATTGCCTCCTCCATAAAAAAGTAATAACACCGCCATTATAGAACTTAGCGGAGCAAATATGGATAGAAATTCCTCTAGGCTGTTCGATTTAATTTGAGTCTCGATAATCTTGGCTGGATGGGGGCCATTCATTCTGCTTGTTCGTTGCTTGATGAGCCAGTGGCTATCTTCTGGGAAGCTGTTGTGCCGAACGAAATGTTCAAGCAAATAGTCTTTTTCTCGCCAGCGATTACGAAGCCAGACGTCGAAAGCAGCTTCGCTATTTACCGGAATGTCAGTTACCTTGAAGCGCCTGAAATGCATATTGACAGATTTCGGCGGCCGGCCTTCAAACATAGACGAGCGCAGCGTATATATGTCTTGACCAAACTGACCTGGCGGTATACCCTCGTAACCAATAGTGCAATCATAGAGCCACTCGGTGGTTTCCTTAAGATTCTTCAAACAAAACTGCAGGCCTTTGCTTCGTGGTAGCAACTGATGCTTCATGTCCTGCAGGCCACGTTCCTTTGCCCATTGTGCACTCTTCTCGCGGGTACCCTTCGCAAGGTTGGTACCCTCCGGAAAGATGAGCAGCCACATTGGGTCGGACTGATTGTTCAGTCGGTTCAAGTGTTGCTGGAGTGAATCCTTGTCCTCCTCCCATTTCCTCTTCAAAAAAATGAAATTATAAAACTGAGCACCCCAGCCAACGATTGGGATTTTCTTCAAAGACTCTTTTAGAATGATGTAAATGTAGCCGTGCATGCTGTTTGTATATGCCGCCCACCACAGATACAGCCAATCCGTGTAGAGCTTCAAACGTCAGTGACTTCCAGTCAAAGTGCTGGGGAATCTCGTACCTGGTGGTTGGCCATCATCACAAGGCGTTTCGGAAATCGGCATTCCAGGCTACCATCCGCTCTGCGGAAAAGTTGATTCGGGATGCTCCTATCGCCACTCACTCGGACGACGGTTGGAGCCCACCACTGCGTCATCGTCGTGATCAGGACACCAAAGGATTGCTTTGTGAACGCCATGTACGCTTCGTAAAACTTCGGGTCAATCATTTTCAACGGAACACCAAAGAACTGTGTCGCGCTGATGGCCATGAGTCCTAACAGAAACGTTGAAGCGGCAGTAAACGCGCGCTCCGTCCGCCCTAAAGGTCCATGCTGGTCTGGGTCAGGATGGTCCACGGGGCTCTTTGTGCTTAGACCGGCTCCAAGGTCTGCCAGTGGATTAGTCGCCATCTCGCACCTTGAAAAGGCTTCAAAATTTTCTTCAACAAGTCAATTATCTTGAGATAAGCACCGAAAGCAGCGCGGCGAAATATTGGCGGTTAGAGAAAAGGCCATCTCTCAACGCCGCACCTCAGCCACTACGAGCGAGAAAGGGTTGATCTTAGTCTCCGCATGGCAAAATCGCCGTGGCGTCATTCTCTGGGGCCACGTCGACCAGTGCAGACAGATATGCGGGGATGTAGGGTACAGATTTCACACAATGCCGTCGATACAACCATTTAGACAGGGTGGCAACCAGTGTCTGGTCTCTTCTAAGCGTGCACATCAGACAACGGGTCATGACAAGGGCCCCGCAAGATTGGATAAGTTGATGCCTGTAGCTCAAATTAGGCTAGCAATTCTAACCAATCAAATCGTCCAACTGGTAGGCCCAAATCCTGCTTCTCAGCCTTGTAGTGACGTCGAAACCAGCAATGCATGCATGCCCTGCTTTCCTCTACCAAGCTGTGGAGAAGTCTGTTCGACGCAGGTCGCGAAGTTGATTTCGATTCGAACCACGCGCAAGGTTTCGTTTTGTCTCTCCAAAATTCGCTTTTTCCATTGACGACAATGGTGGTCTACACCGCAAGTGCTCCGGCCGGAAGGACCGCGAAGAAAGACGTGCCCGCGAGGCGGGCGCCTTTGAGCAAGACGGCGCAGGTCGCAAAGAAGACGCCGCCTGTGCCTCAAGCTGTCAATGGAGTCTCACCTTTCGAGATCATGGCCGGCAGAATCGCGAATAGAGTGGCGGAAATGGCGGAGAACGTGACGTTCGTGGAGCGGCAGCCGTAAGACCCAAGGCCTCAACCTACAATGCGGTACAGGGAAGTTTTGCTAACTGCGCGTGACGGCATGACGAGCAGGAAGGCGACACAATCTGAGGCGCCGCAGGCCAACGCGAGAAAGCCGCCGCGAAAGCTCGAGATCAGACTGCCCAATGCCGGCGCCGACGGGGTCAAGTTCTCGGCGCCATTCCTGGACAACACGCTTGCGAAGATGCTGGCGCTGCAGAACCGGATGCTGAAGACTGGTAGCGAGATCGCTGCGTCGGATGCGAGCGAGAAAGTCAAACGGGAGCAGTTTGAACAGAGCGCTGAACTGTCACGCATCATTGCGCTCATTTGTGCAGAGAAGGCCAGGCAAGGCGCATAGCAAGAAGCCATGTTATTCGCGATAAGGTATCGAAAAGGGGTTAAGCAGTTGACCTTGCGCCGTGATGCATCTTGGTTCTCAAGGAACAGGCATTTTTGGTCAGTCAACGACAGGCTTTCCATCTGACATTGGACGCTTTGTATCAATAGTTCAACAAGCAGACGTCTACACATACGTAGTGTCTGTTTCTCCATCATCAGGGCCAGAATCTTTCAAAAATTATTAAACCAGCATTCTACTGGCTCAACTCTCAAGGTGCCTGCAGAGCTAGGAGAAACAAATAAAACAGCAGCAGGATCAAGATATGGACACCTGTCGGCCACAGAATTACTTCTTCCCAGTCTCACGCGTAGTGGCTTTCCTTCTTCTTCCCCTTCTCTTTTCCTTCATGATCGATCATCATTATCGTCCTTGTTCTCCGCACCCAATGCAACGAAAACAGACCCCACCCTCCCACCAACTACCCCAAACACCTCGTTGCGTCATTCCGAGCCAGGATGGTGCTTCCCACAGCGAGCCACACATGACGTCCTTGTGCTTTAATGCTGTACACATAAGCATGCACCTCGTCTTGACACCCGCTCCCCCTTGGCTACGTTGCCGGAGATCTTCGCACGGCGACAAGGGGCCGGACAGGTTTCTTTCCTTCCCCTCGCGCGGTGCGAACGCACTGGAAGAGTGGACGTCAACTTGATGTATGACCTCGATCAACGGCGAGCAGGGAACCAGGGGAGAATGGGTATGAGCTTGCGTTGTAGTGTGCAAATGGAAAGACAGAGGAAGAGAGCGTATGTGTCTGTTTTCGGGGAAAAGTAGGCAGAGGAACAGGAAGAAGAGAGAGGGTAAGGGCAAGTCTTGGTTGCGAAGCTGAGAAGCTAAGGAGATGGAGCATTCCAAGCGCTTGCAGCGTTGAAAATCGTCACATGCTTTCGATCCAAACAAAGCGATTCCTCGAGTGTCTCTCTCCATCCACTGTTCTCCTGCTTCTTATTCACTATTCTTCCATCCTTCCTCTTCTTTTCATCCCCGTCCAACGTTCTCTTCCATTGCATCTTCCCCCATCCAGTGCCCCGTTTAAAAACATATATCACACACGCATATATATAGATATACCTATATAAAGACGCAACCTTTCTCGCCTCACGTTCGAGAAAAGTGCATGAACCGCACCAGCGAATCCCTCTTCTGTCAATCAACTCGTTACCCTTGTGGCATGGCGCAGCTTCTAGGCGACATAGTGCAGCGCAGCGTGGGCGGGCTGGTCGCCGGCGCGGTCAGCGCAGTGGGCGGGTACGCCGGTTCCGCTGTGAGCGGGGTCGGCGACCTGCTCGAGGCCGGAGGCGAGGCGGTCGGCAACGGTAGTAATCTTTCCCCACCCCCTCCCAACTCAGCTAGAGTCTCATGAGTGCGTTGGCAAGGACACGAGCTAACGAGTGCGGCGCTCCCGCGGCAGGCATAGCTAGGGGCCTTCAGGGCGTGGGGGACAGTCTGAGGGGGTACGGTACAGCAGTGCAGCGCGCGACAGCGGCAAGCGGGAGCGACCGTACGGTCGCGAGAAAGGTTGCGTCGCCCACTACGGCTGCATCGACGATGACAACCGCGTCGGCGTTGGCGTCGGTGGCGAAAAAGACGCTTCCTGCCGCGGGCTTACAGCGCACCCTATCGCCCTCGAAGCAGACGAAGGCGCTGCCAGCGCCACAGAAGCAACGGGCTAAAGCAGCAAGTGACAGGGCGAAGGCGACAGCCAGGCCAAGGAGGCCCAATCCCACCCAATCGATGAAGCCGCCGTCGACGGCGACAGGGGTCAAGGTTTCCGTCTCGCGCCTGGCCGCGTCGGCCGGCGTGCGCGCTGTCAGCTCCCCGAGGCAGGCCGCGCCGACACGCAAGGCCGGCGCGACGGCGGGAGCGCACCAGAGCTTTGGCGGCCATATACCTGGGTACGGATCGGACTTCGCAAGGACAGGGTCAAGACCAGGGGCGAAGGCGGTGAGCACAGCGGGAAGTGTGCTGGGTGAAGGTGGTCTCAAGTTCTTCTGACATGGACGACGTTCGATACGTATGGATGGTGGTCGTTGGAAGTCCTTCGTTGTTCGTATTTTCATCTGAGAATGCCAAGAGGCGATGAAGTTGGAGCGGGGGGAAGGGGCGCGCATGGCACATAACGGCGCAGAAAAACAAAGAAAAAGCGGTGCTTGATGCGCACCTTGTTCCGGCTGCTGGTGCACGCAATGGTCCTCGTCATCGGCTAGTGTCGTGGGAATGAGTCTCTCTTGAGAAAGACGACGCACGGTCACGTATTATGTCGCCGGTGAATTCAGACAATCTTTACGTTGTGGGTATATAGGTCCTACTCATGTCTTGCATACAGCAAACGCCACGCATCCACGCTAGAAGAAAGAAAACTTCTTTGTGCATCTACTGGACTGATATTACCCCTTGCCCACATACACGTGAAGAGAAAGGCCCTTTGCATCGTCCATCCATGCCCAGGAGCGTAATCTTTTGCTCAGCACAAGTGCGACAGTCGCCTACTCCATTCAGCCCATGTAAGAGGAATTTCTTGACAGTCCTAGACATTGATCGCACAGTAGAGACTGATTTCAGAGCAAGGGACTCCGTTCCATCGTCCGGCCGTTAAAAAGTTATGCACAAGAAAATAAAAAGGTCGTTCATTGTCATGTATAATCTTTGCTCGTTCGCGCTCTCCTTTCTCCTCTTGGAAACAGACAACGTACGTGACTGATTAGCAGAGTGTGCTGAAGATGTGTCAAACTGGAGAAAGCACTCGACCGTTTTCTGATGACGCCGAAATTGATGCCGAAACTCTTTTATCCTTTATATATTCGCCCATGACAGAAGCATCTCCAAGATGAGGGGGAGAAAAACCACGTTATCATTTCATGTGTTCCGAGAAAGCAAGAACTAGCGGCAGGCGTGTTGAGATTATAGACAACATCCTGCTGCTTAAGTTAAAAGAACCAGGCTTAACAGCCACTCCCCGATACGGAGTGCGATTCGCGACAGTTGTACTGTCGCATGTGTAGGAAGATATCGTTTCGATATATTACTTTTTGTTGTGGCGCTATTTGAAAACGCCAGAGCTCCGATGCTGCACAATGAGAACAAGGTCGTTAATAGGAGTCGTTATGGTAGTGTACCCATGGAAAGCGCCGTGAAAAAAGAAATCGACAAATTACGAAGACTACGCACCAAAGGCAGGAGGAAGATCTAGGTGCCTGCAGATCGTCGCGAGGAGCCAAGACCATTACATTGGGCTGCCTTCGATTGAGGGGTTATTGCCGTCGTGCCGCCGGACGACGAGCTGGCTGGAGTGTCTGCTGCGGGCGATAGACTCTTGTTGATTGGCAGACTTGTTTGACGAGGCGATGCAGCAGCACTGGTGGCAGCTGACTGAGAGCGCGGAGGCGAATGGACGGAGTCGCTTCTGACAAGATGTGCGCGCTGCGCCATTTTCTTCTCAATCACTCCGATCTGCTTGCTGGTGGGACCAACACGCTTGCTGCGTTGCAGGCCTGGTTTGAGTATATTGTAGAATATGATCCAGTCGGAATCAGACAGGGTGTCGAGCATAGTTTCTGCACCCAGCGTCAGTTTTCATCGTCAAATTATCCGTTCTTCGATTTGGCGATCGTTCCCGTTCGCATTAGGGCACATGACACTTACGAATGACGTAGTTTCCGAATCCGTCCAGCAGAAGCTGTGTGGGACCGTCGCCCAGGTCGTCGCTATAATTGACAATTGCCATAAGCAGCTCGTGCTTTTGCTTCTGGGAGCCGTGGGAAAAGCACTTTTCGACCACGTTGCTGGCGAACTTGTGCTTCGAGTACGGTATGATACGATCTCTGATCTGATCAATCACCTTCTCCCGGTCCTCCGGAAAGCCAAACACAATCATGTGCTGCGTGACATAATTACCATACTGATCGTCTATAATGTTCTTCGAGTTGTGCAGTTCCGTCAGGATAGTGTGCTTGACCGGGTCGGAAGAGTGCTCGAGCACGCGCTGGATGACGCGACAGCCGTAGCTGTGCCGTGACAGCTCGTCAACCTTGCCCGTGAAGGCGTCCACGATGAATTGGATGTGCTCGACAGGGATGCGCTCGATCGCCTTCTGAATGACGTGATTGCCGTTCATATCCTTGACACATCGAATCACGTTGGGTTCCAACTCCCTGATCAGCGCGGCTTGCTGCGCCGTGAGTATGTGGTCAATGGCTTTCTGTACCACCCTGCACGCATACATCTGCGTTGACAGTTCGAACAGGTGGCCCTTCATGGCGGCTGCGATCTGCGCCTTTTGCATCTGATCGCCGTGGTCGAAGAACTTCTGAATCACGTAGTTTCCGAACACGTCTTGCATGAGCTGGATGATGTCCGGGAGTATCTCGGCGAACACGAGCTGCTTGTCATCGCTGTTGGCCTGTTCCAGCTTGGTCTGAATGAACCGTGAGCCAATCTGATCACCACAGAACTCGACAACGTGCCCTTGGATGTCTCTGAGCTGCCACTGCCTGTTGCCCTTGCTGCTCGTCGCCTTGAATTCCGTGAGAAGTTGGCTTTGCAGAGTCATGCCGTCATGCTCGCGAGGACCGCGCGGGGTGGGATCGATTATGGGGAACATGGCCGGAGGTCCGTACCCCGCCAGATGCGGAGGCAGATTGAGGGGTCCCAGGGGGAGCGCATTTCCAAGGTTGTACGGTGGCGTGAAGCCGTTCACAGCAAAAGGTTGACGATACGGGTTTAAGGTCGAAGATTGCAACGGAGAATGAGAGGGGAAGCCGTTCGTCTGCTCTTGTTGAATGGAACGAAGACGACGCTCCAAAAGCGCAGGATTCGCGCTCGCGCTCAAGCGGCCGTTCTGTGGGGGCATGTACGAGCTGTCCGAGTGCGAGGGAGTCGACATGTACGACGCCGGCCGGAAATCGTTTGCACCCGGCGTGAACGCGCCTCTGTCATAAGGTTGCCGCGAAAAGGGGTTGTTGAAGGTCGGAACATTGTCAGGTGTGTACGATCCAAAGTTCTGCGCGCCCCGCGCGCCGGCCTGGTTACTGTGGAGCGCCTGCAAGTAGGTTGCATTCATCGCCAAGCCCACGGTTTCGTTCGGGCTTTGGGGATCAAGTGTCGGGCGCTGATGCTGCGTCAAGTGGTCAGACGCTTCACTGAGGCTGAGGCGCTCCAGAAGCGGTAAGGGATCGTTTGAGACAGAGCTTTGGCGTTCGAGAGAGAAACGGCCACCGGAGACGGAGGAGACAGACGGTGTGTGGCCATGGGTGGCCTGAAATCGGTTGAAAGGCGATTCGTTGAAGAAGGGGTCATTGTTTCCGTGCCGCGACGGCGGTTGACTGGGGTTTTGAGAGGAAGAATTGCTGTACGGCATGAAGGAGTCGGACGCTGCACTTCTCCTGTCATCTGTAGGCGAATGCACGGAGCCGCCTCCCTCGGTCCATGAGCTGATGGAGCCTTGGTGGTGGATGCTGCCGGTCGAGTCTCTCGTGAAATGGCCCAACGCTCCGTTGAGAGTGGTTTCCGAGTTGCGCTGCGCTGCAAAGCTTTGATTGTTGAACAGGCCGTTCGAGGGTCTGCTGCCATTTGTGTAGTTGTTCGCACCGAGAACGTCGGTGCCTTCCAGCAAGCGGCTGTTGCGGCGAACGGGAGAGACACCGGAGTTGCGGTCCCGGGAGACCGAGTCCCATGCGGACTTTGGTTTGTTCCACACGTCAGTGTTTAGCGTCTGGTTGAAGGAGCTCGAGGAGGAGCCGTTGGCATTCGACGAGAGGAAGGCTGCAGAATCTACAGGCCCCGCGCCATTTGTTAGCAGTTCCGTTGTAGCGACCTGAATGTCAAGCATACCTCGATTTCTCGAGCTGTCCCTCGTGGTCGAGCCGAGACCGTTGCGCCAGATGCTGGCGCAGCTGTCAGGCCAAACCCTCGTGCTGCCTCCGAGGCCTTGAGCGAGGCTCATGGACGGAGGTCGCTCGTCGCCGCCGGGACGCGCGACGGGTCCTAGTCGCTCGTTCTGCAGATTCACGTCAGACAGCGTCGCAAAGATGCGAGCCAGAGAAGTGTGTTATGTGTGAAGAGGCACGGACTGACCTTGTTCGCGGTGGGAAGCTGCCTCGACATGATGGTCGCGTTCATGAGTGTGCGCAGGACTGGTATGCAGACAATGTACGGCGTGCCAGGGCGTCGGGCGAGGACCTTTCCTAAGCTGCAGAAGGCGCAGAGGCGCCCGCAAAAGAGCCTTTTTGTTCTGTTGCCTACACGTCAGGTCTTTCTCCGCGTATAATATGAGCCGGAAGTGGACGATGACGTTGAGAACGCGGCATGCATGTGAGCGAAGAATGGGGCAGCGGGTAGAAAACTCACGGGTTGGTTGCACCTGTGCAGAAATGTACAGCAAGCGCGGTGTGCTGGATTTTATTTTCCTTTTTGGTGTGCGACGTGGAGCAGATGTGGGTATAACCGATGTTGACGAGGGGAGTGGTGTTGGTCGGGCGTGGTGGGCGACAAGGAGGAATTTGATATACCAGGACAACGACGGGGCTAGTGACGCTCGGATGCACGCGAAGTAGAGGGCCTGCGAAGGCTCATGTTCGAGGAAAGGTCGCAGGGAAAGACGCTGAAGCGTGCGCGGTGAAAGGGAAGTAAGGGCGAGAAGGCGAGACTGTTGACCGGAATGCGCAGGCACAAAGTTTGCTTTGAATCCCCAGGCAAGGTGAACGCTGGGGGCGGGGGGAGGGGACGAGCGGTGAGTGGTTGCGTCGAAGGGGAGGAGAGGAGAGGGGAGGAGAGGAGAGTGAGTGAACGAAGCACAGAGAGAGACGGAGGAGGTGGTGGAGGGGAAGGGAAGGGGGATTGGGCGGGGGGCGAAAGGTGAAAGAGAGCGTCAAGGAGGCGCTTGCAAAAGAAAAAAAATAAGTTCGAAGGATGCGAAGAAGAAAGCGGGGAGAAGAAGACGGAGATGGAGACAGGCAAGAAGCAGATTGAGGTCGAGTTTCTTGGAGGCAAAAGAGCAAGGGCGGCAGAAAGAGGGAAGAGAGGACGATACGAAGGCTGGCGAGGCTCGAAAAGGCGACAGGTCAGCAGAGAAGGTCTCCCTGGAAACGCAAAAGAGCACGAGCAAGCGTCGACGAAAACGGACAAGAACAAGAGCGACAGCAACAGCAACGACAAGAGACACGAAAGCTACAGCAACCACGAGAATGACCACAAGGGCAACGGCGGCGGCGCTGGGACAGCACCAAGGACGACACAAATAAGAAAGGCGAGCGATGAATTTGCGACAACTCAGAGGGCGTGGGAGCGCAGGCGTTTCTGGTCCTTGATGCACGTCGGATCTGGCGCCTCGTCATCATCCTCATCGTCACCATCCGCCCTCATTTGCTCGGGGTGGATGCGGCTCCACTTTTCTGCGGCGGGAACGATTTAGTGCTCCCGCGCCTTGCCTCCAGTGTCACCCCGTCCGCCCGGGCCTAGCCTTGTGCCGAGCCTGGCCAGCGACGGCGACTGGCGTCGCGCTGTTGGCCGTCATCATGGCTGCGGAGGCGAGCATGGTGAGTGAGCACGGATGTTGACGGCGAGCGCGGCAGCGGCACTGGCCTTGGCAACGATGATCGTGGCCGGGTTGACGACAACGATAAATGACAATGACGCTTTGACGATGGTGATTGTGAAGACAATCCCAAGACGTACGACGATGCTGGGCTAACCGCTGCAACACACACAGCACTCACAGAGCACACACAGATGGCCGAAAGCTGAAAAGACACTTCCATCCAACACCATGTCGTCGTCGTTGCTCCGGCGCCCGCGCCTCGCCGGTGCACCGTTCCCTCTGCCTCTCTCACATTCGCTCATTTGTCGACGCATGAAAGACAAAGAGCCGATTCCTGCAAAACGTGGCGTTCTGGCCGACGTTGGAATGGCCAACCACCAACCCTCTCGCCGTGGCTCCGTGTAATCACGATAGTTGCCCGAATTGTGACGGCCGGAGAACACACTATCGAGGAGGAGCAGAAGAAGGCGGTGACCATCGCTGTGACGAGAAAAACGCCGCTGCTACTTCTGAAGCAGCAGCTGGCTCACTGTCGCTGGCCGTGCACTATCGTCTTTCACCCTGTACACCGTTGCACAGCGTCCAAAGTCGTCGCACGTACGAACCAGACAGAGACACACAAGCACACTCGCGCGACATGCATCCACACACGTTTACCCCCACCATCTCCGTACACAAGATCCGCCCGTGGAACGCTCCAAAAATGGCAATTTTTCACATAACAGTCGCACGCACTCGGCGCAGCCCGGTGTCGCTCTTTTCATCCTCCAGCGTCAATCAAATCATCAATCACGTTAAGCCCAACGGACTCACGCTAACCGTGCATTTCCGCCGCGCGCGACGGCACCGCACATGAGGCTAAACCGGCATTCCCAGAACGTAAAACTTGCAGTGGTACAAGGGGGAGGAGCAGTGCGGACTGGCAATGGTAGTACTCGCCGCGGCAGTACCAGTACTTATGGTAGCCATAGTATAAACCCACGACGCATATTTTTCTAAAGCTGGCTCAGCCGGAACCGCAACCACGGCCGTAGTTAAGACACAAAGGCTCAGCACGACCACGACCGCTCCCACCACAAACACCCGCGCGTCTGGTGTCGTCTCTCCGCGCCGTCTTCAGTGTAACCAAGCTTCTCTACCGTGTCATGTCCGACGCGGCGGGTACGCACCCACATCCTTCGTCACACATCCCACCCGTCGCGTACCAGCGTACCTGGCTACAATCCGTCCCACTCACAATCAAAAACCCTCCCATTTCTCCTTCTCGTGCCACATCACGCTACCGGCTGCAGCAGAGACGAAAGCAAAAACGAAATAGGGACTTGGTTCTACGGCACACAGCAGGGTGTCTCAGCAAACCGAAGGGACAGGCACAGAGCAAAGGCAAAGGGGCAAAAACCTAGTCATGGTCCTGGCTGGCGGAAAGTCAACTTGCGTTGGTTGCCTGCCTCCGTCAAGTGCGCATTATTTCGGTGACAGATGTTACAAAAGACCCGCGCGTGAAGCCGGCAATATTGCTGCCCTTTCGCGCGCCGGAGCTCGCCACCTCATGTCTTGAGTTTCGCTTCCTTTTTGGTCTCTTCTCATGGTTCAAAACCTGGGAAGATCGATCTTTCATGCAGCAACCCTTCTGCGAAGCAGGAGCTCAAAGAGGCAAAAACGCCCCAGCCCTAAACCCAACTCCGCGATTTTTTCCTCTTTCTCCTCCCTTGCATCATTGTGGTTTTTGATCCTTTTTTGGCGACTTCTCACTCTCACTTATCCAATTCGCTCTGTTCTGCGCATGCTACACACGTCCCTTGCTTCCCCAAATCCTGTCTGGCATTTGGTTGTCTGATCGAATTTGTTCCCACCCCAGCACGTACCAAAAGCGACAGATTGTAATAGACTTGTATAGGTTGGGGGACGTAGTCCGTACCAATACCAATAGCTTGAGTCGCATCTTTACACTTTGCAAAAGTGATAGCAGGAATCGCAAAGCGAACCAAAATGAGCAATCAAGGCGGATGAAATTAACGTCTCACCCTGCATCGGCTGGTCAAATTTCCTTTCTCGTGCAATACTCTGTAGACTCGAGACCAGCGCCCGCCCAGAGGGTACCCTTCTCATTACCGTCTCTTTTCACACACCGGAACGAGAGATGTATACATGCAGATCCATTCTCAAAGGCCCGCATCCGTCAGGTACGAGCACTCTCCTAGGTCGCGTGCGCCCGCACCTGAGCAACCATGGCCCGTTCACAGTCACACTGTCTTCCCTCTTTGATTCCTGGAGGACTCTCCAGCACATACACGTCGCCGAGCTTTCCTTTTGGCCGTGGGGCGCCTCGCTGGCGCTGCCCTCGTCTGCAACCGCTCTTTGTGTCGCCCATGAATCGAATCGCTTCGGACACATGTTTTTGTTCTCCAATCCTACAGACAGGATGCATTGTGAATCCTGAGAGTGTCCGAGACGTTGTTGTGAAAAAAAAGGAGGAAGAAGAAGAAGAAGAAGAAGAAGAAGAAGAAGAAGAAGAAGAAGAGAAGGATGTCCACAGGCCGGCCCCCATGCACATTCTGAACCAGGTTACCAGCTCCTCAGCTCCTGACAGCATGATCGGATTCGTCTTGGGGCATGGAGCAGGATCTCCGATGAAAACGTGACCGTTGCGTCGCAGGTGCGTTCCTTGATCTCGGCGCTGGATGCTACGACATTCTTCTCTGATTCAATGCTTCAATGCTTCAAAGCCTCAATGCTGTCCGTGTTTTACGTGTCGATATCATTCTTTGCCGTTCACGCTATCAGAACTGGCTGTCGATGTATGAGGACGCACGAACAGAATCTGTCTCCCAGCATAAGGTCTGAGCTACCCGTACGCCTCAATCGAGGACGCAAGTCGAACTTTTTTCCCCTGGGCCAAGGGTTAACCATCAGAGCAGACACGCAGCTTTTGTCCTAAAAGCCGTGCTCTGCCATACACGTGCTTCTCGGCCGCTGACATGGCGCCTGACACATCTGTCGAGGAAAGTACGACAGCTCGCGGCTCAGCCTGGAGGTCGCCCTCCATCTTCCTCGACGAGTCCGCTGCAGGAGAACCGTACAGCACGTACTTCGACAGCCTTCTCGAACCTGATTAAGATAACCGCCGTGAAAGGGTAAAAAAACGCACGACGACACGCAGCTTTTGCGCCATCGACGCCAGCGCCAAACCCGCATCGGCTAAAGGCCGTTCGCGGGTACCTGGGCCATGGCGTCAATCGACGGGGCGTGATTCGCCAGCCGAGCTCGGGGGCGCAAGATGAGGGCTCTGGATGGACGACCATTCCTTGCTCCTGGTTGGCGAAAACGTTCAGCAGACGGTTGATCGTTGGATCATTTAATTTCACGTTCGTCGGCCTTCGAAGTGCTTCCGACCTTGCGAGTCCCTTTTGCTTCTTCACACCCCCTCCGCATCTCTCCCCATCCTTCCCATCTGTTTCTCGATCGAAACAAAGGAAAAGTCTTCAATTTTTGGCAGTACGATGTGGGCGTGAAACGCCAGATCGTGCTCCGCTTTTCTTTCCTTCCTTTGTGAATCATTTTGTCGCTCCTTTCCGCTTGGTTCGCTTGCCGTGTAACGCGCCCATTCGTTTCTCTCCGCTGCAACATCATCGGCAATAACAGTCGGAGAAGAAAATTGCAAACGACAGACAAAACACTCCTTTCCTGGTCCGCTCAGAGGCTACATTTGTCTTGGTGCGGTCTTGTCGCGCTCTTTCTACCTGGACGCATTTCATTTCGCGTGCGTACCAGTCTTCTGAAGGTGATCCTGCAAGATAGAAAAGTCTGCGGCTGGTAAGCTCTGCCTCGCAACTCGCCTGGCTTAACCGCAATCGCCCTTGCGCTAATGCACCGTCCATCGCAGTTATTCACACTCGTTGACGTACGAACAATCACGTCGCCGTATTCTCAGTCCTTACCAACCTCTTCGGCTTAGGCACCGGAGACAACAGTCCTTTGAAACAAAATACAACTACATTCGCTGCCCGGTAGGGCGTGCCATTCGTTTATTCATTCAAAGCCTCTGTGCTCGCTGCTATATTCAATAACGCAAATCAAGATACTCAAAATGCCCGTGATCTACAGAGTGGTTCGTCGGGACAGCTCGCAGGCCGGCGCGCTCACTCCCACGATGACCAACTTGGTCATCGCATTCGTCGTTCTCTTCGCTGCCATCGCGCTTCTGGTTGGAACGCTCTTCGTGCTGCGACAGATTCGCCGTAGTACGGATGAGCAGGAGCGCCAAATGTCCGAAGTCCTCCCCTGCTACTCTGAGAAACCGTCACTGCGCAGCTCGCGCCTCACGATCAACACCTCGAATCTTGAAAAGGATAGTCTGCGCTCCGGTCAATCGAGTCCAGATGTGCCAGAGATCCGCATCACATTTCCAGAAGAGATTGATGAGAGCGGAAAGCGGAAAAGTGGGCGCGTCGTCATCGTCAAGGTTGGCGACCACAGCATCGGCCTTGAGCCTGTCACTGAGCAACTGCCCCCGTACCAGCAAACGGAGAGCGCGGACGGCCGCTTCCATTCGCTCGACCTGGACAGGATGGGAGGCCTGAAGGAGAAGGAGTATATGTGAATCACACGAGTATGACCACTTGGGTCATGGAGCAAAGCAACGGAAAAAAAAAAGGGCCCGGAACGGCGCGGCCAGTCGAGAATGCTTTGTGCACCGACACTCTAGCGTAACGACATGGAGAGCTGTGCGCGCTCATGAACTCGCGCTCTGCTGTTTTCTCTTTTTTCACGAACATCTATTGTTTTATTCAGGAGAATGGGCGAGCTTGGCTAGGGTCATCGTTACAGAGGCAGCGCTGCTGCTTCTGCCCCTCGACAGCCACGCTCGACGATATGATTGTATTCCACCCGTGCGAACGTCGGCGTTGCAATTGGTCAAATTTCTGAGCATGAGCTTTGCCTTAGCAAATCGAAAGCCTCACAGAGGCCAGTCTGACGCTTCCAGGCTGGGTTTACGACGGAGCAAATATCTTCTTCACGTATTCTTAGCTTGTAATGTATTATAGATAGTGTTTGACGACTAGCTGGCATTGTGGATGGCTCTTTTCGTGCTGTCTCCTTGTGCGCATCTGGTTTGTTCATAATGAAGAGACCCCAGTCTACACCTCGCTCTCTCTCATACAGGCATAGATATGTTTATACATATACGGTCGCAAGCGCAAGCACACGCGTGTGTTTTCAAAGTGAATTTTCTATTTTGTGAACCGTTTCCTGTTGATCTGACTTCGTGTTCCTATGAAATCCTGTGAAGACAGTGCAAGTACGCCAAGAAACAACCAACACTAGTATACATATCTCCGTAGTGATGATTATCAAAAGTCGAACCACCCACTTTTTGATCAACTCCAAGTAGATGAATGCGTACATTTTGTAACCTCGATACATTATGCTATATTAACTACTATAAATTTGCATCTATATGCCAAGTAAATTGCATATCCCGAAGGTGTATCTCCTCAAAATGCATCATCTGAACCATATTTGAGGCACTTGAGATTGCCTGATTTGGTAGTGATGATGCTTCCATTGGTTGAGTTTATATGGTAGTCTCCATTATCAAGCTCCTCGCCATTTGTGCAGTTTCGATCTCTTCAATGATTGCAAATGTCTCTTAAGAATCTTTGATCAGCTTTTTGCCTCTTGTTGCCCTTTTAATTCTTGAAGCTGGTGTCGTAGTACCAGATTCTCGTTTTAAAGCCGTAGAATCTTGATGTCTGTCACGGAACTACTTGAGCAACGTTGTAACTGTGACGTAGTGAGTTACGAAGAGTACTTAATTTAGTAATATATATATACATATATACATATATATAAAAATATAGGTACTAAATGTAAGGCAAGATGTTGCACAAAAGGGGAGAAGAAGGGGAAGCAGTTCTGCTGAGAATAAATATCTAATGTACTGGGGAAAATGGTTCATACTCTGAAGGGCATCACATGACAAGAGAGCTAGAGCCTTAGGTGTCATGTGATATGGAAGGGCTATATAAGAAGAGAAGAATAAGGGAGATAAGAAAAAAGGAGAGAGAGAGCACCAGACAAGAACAGAACAACAGAGACCAGCTTTGCTTTGCCTCATACAGAACTTTGCTTTGCTTTGCCCTGCTTTGCCTTGCTTTACTTTGCCTTATCTTTACTTTACTTTTCCCTATTTACTCTATCTCTCTATACCCTCATCCTAACTATCTTATCCTGCTCCTAAGCTTCTTTACAATTCCCATCTGTAGGAGGCTTCTCTCTCTCCCTTGATTCCTCACCCTCAGGAAGGCCTTGACATTGAGTGTCCTACCCCCTGCAGTGGCGGTCAGCCTAAAACCTTTACACGAAGAAACCCCCTTATACTTGCCCTGATCGGTCTTAGAGTTATATAAGCTATCTTCAGGGTAGTAGCTAATATCATAGGATCTGGGCAGATGTTAGCCAGCCTCGGTGCCATTAAAGCCAAAGAATAGTGCCGATCATGTGTCGTGGCGAAACCCAATCACATCCAGAGGATCCGGCGCCACAGGTCCCTTGACCGTTGGATATGCTCCTATGTAAAAGCAAGTCTTTTGACATGGTTAGATGATGAGCGGGGTGGTCTTGCAAGGTTGGGATACCTCGTAAATCCACGACGTCGTAAACAGCTTTAGATATTCAGATGTAATTAGGGGAGAGAAGACCTCCTTTGCGAGTCAAAGATAGGTCATACAGCACGACTCTTCAGACTGCTCTATATTGTTGATCAATTCATTTAATTACTCTTCAGATAGTACAGGCGCTTGGTCACTTCAGTTTACAACTGTGGAATGCTCAGCTGTGCAAGTATATTGTACTTGTCGGGTAGTAATGTTTAGCTGTCTCGCCATTGCTTCGTATGTAAAGCCAATACTACGAAAGGTTTGTACTTGGATATGCTGGTTTCAGGTGAGGAACGGCGCCTGTCGGCGGCTTTTGGGTGTTGATGGTGTTCGTATAGGAGGCATTTCTGTCTTTCCCTACTATAAAATCAGTAGTTTGAGTGATAACACGGATCGTGTAATGCGTGAATAATTTTGTTTATGATGGAAGATAAGATTGAAAGAGGATAGGTGAAAAGGGCCCCTGGTCAACTGGTGGCGTCGTATTGACACTACTTTCACCAGATACCACAGTATTGTGGCAATGAATTTTTGGGATATGTCATTCCGCTTTGTGAGCCGTCACGACATGCACAATTCGCTCATGGCGGTTCAGCTGTGCTTGAAACATACTCATGTCACTCGTTTCGCTCAAGATTGCGACTGCCCCGCCTGATTCGAGCTTTGTCTCAGACACTCGAGGGCTAAGCAAGGGACAGCAAAGATACGTGAGGTTTGGCCGCCGGGATGGACGAGGACAGAGACCACCGTAGTTGCTCAGGCCCGCAAATCCGCGATCTGCGTTATACCAGCTCTGTTTATTCCATAACTGTAATGATAATTCTGGACATGAGCAGTCATGTTCAATGCGTTCCCGAAAAGCGTTTTCTCTGATATGCAAGTTGCGTTCTGCGGCGTGTGACATCAAGTAAGGCTAGTATGAAAGTGCGAGGAAAAGGTTCGATAGCGTAGCAATTGAGGGAAGAATAGCAGAAAGCTGCTGTGATCTCTAACAAAATCTCTTCACATTTTCAGAGTTTACAGCATTTTAAACAGCACTTTTTGCCAAAAGAGGAGACGTGGATGGCCTGCTTAATTGTATAACTCGGCATTACCTAGAAAGAAAAGAGGGAGGGGAGGGTCCGGCTGTTCCCAATCCGTCATTGGTGGAACACATCTAAATCGCGTTTGGGCTCCGGAAACACCACCGTTTCCATCAAGTCCCAGAGCATGCATCGAAGAAGCCGACGACGACGACGAAGAAGAAAAAGAAAACGAGAAGAGCAATTGCGCCGCCCGCCCACCTCCATCCTCCAAATACCCTTCTTCTCAGACCAATGATGCAGAATGGAGCTTCGACGCCAGAGTCGGCCGAGTTCCATCATATCAAGTCTGAGTTTGAGAAGATCAAGGCACAGCGGAAGCGAGACGCAGATAACGCGGAAGCAACATCTGCTAATCCTTCCCGTCCGCCACTGCCACTGGCGAGACCGCGCGTGGAGCACAATCCCTCTACGAGGCAGGACGAGGCTCGCTTCACGGTGACGCAGGGCTTATTGATTGCGTTTCTTGCGCTGATTCTGTATGAGATCACGGCCTCCCGAGAGGGGCGAAGCTAAGCGGACATGAGCACGTAGATTGACTTTTGAACCCTTTTTGATTTAGGATCCTCCATGTGCTCGGCCTGTACCTGTTCACTAGCGGTTTCCTGCTCACCCGGCTCGTCCTCGACGACAAGTCTCGATGTGACCATGCTCCGGTCGAGCTGCTTTCGAGCCAGGGGCTCGGCTCGGCGGCGACGGGATGTTGGCACCCAAAGCAATTCGAAAAGGCCGTAATCCTCGTCGTAGACGCCCTCCGCTACGACTTCACCGTGCCGTTTAAAGCGCAGACCGAGCGGGACGCACCCCGCCATTTTCACGACGCCCTCAAGGTGCTTTACGACACGGCCGTCGAGGATCCTCGCAAGGCTGTCCTACTACCCTTTATCGCCGACCCGCCTACGACCACGCTGCAGAGGCTGAAGGGCCTTATGACGGGCACACTGCCGACGTTCGTCGACGCAGGCTCCAACTTCGCCGGCACCGTCATCGACGAGGACAACCTTATCGCGCAGATGCATAACGCGAGCAAGACGGTCGTGCATCTGGGCGACGACACGTGGCAAGCCCTATTTCCGGGCTATTTCAACGCGGAGCTGTCAAGGCCATACGACTCGTTCAACGTCTGGGACCTTCATACTGTCGACGACGGCGTGACCGAGCACCTCATCCCTCTGTTACAGCCTACCAACGCGTCCAAGTGGGACGTCCTCATCGGTCACTATCTTGGTGTGGATCACGCTGGTCATCGCTATGGGCCAGATCACCCTGCTATGACGGCCAAATTGCAGCAGATGGACGGTGTCTTTCGCAAGGTTGTGGAACTTGTTGATGACAAGACGCTCCTTGTTATCATGGGCGACCACGGCATGGATCCAAAAGGCGACCATGGGGGTGAGTCCGACGACGAAGTCGAAGCGGCACTGTGGATGTACTCTAAGAAAGGCATATTTGGCCGCGAGAAGCACCAGCCTGTCACGCCATCCGAAACAGCGAAGCAAAACCCCGTCGCGCAGATTGATCTCGTACCCACTTTGGCACTTCTACTAGGCCTTCCCATCCCATTTAACAACCTGGGAGCGCCTATCGTAGAGGCTTTCATCGGCTCCAAGGGCCGGGACTACGAGAATCTTGCGCGCGTGTCGCGCATCACCGCCGCTCAGGTGTCGCGGTATATCAACGAGTACGCACTCATTCGGGGCATAGAGGAGTCCTTCGCGCTACCGACTGAGGTGCTTGACATCGCAAACCATCTGTGCCAGGTTGCCGACCCGTCTCGCACAGAGCTCCAGAAGTGGCAGGAGGTCGCTGTGGCGTATCGAAACTTCCAGCTCGAGACCGTCCGCGTGTGTCGCGATCTGTGGGCGCGCTTCGATGTGCCCAGCATGATTGGCGGTGTCACTGTGCTCTCTGTCGCCCTTGCGCTGCTAATTATTTATGCACGCGGCATAAGTGCCCTGCGACTTGCCCTGTCGCCTGGGTTTGTCAAACGCGGCAGCATTGGTCTGTTCCTTGGAGCCGCTGTCGGTGCCTGTCTGGGAGTCGTCATCCCAGGTGTGGCACTCGGTCGCGTCAGCGCTCTGCTGGCTTCGCTCGGCTGCAGTGCAGGCATCGTCCACGTTTTCTACAAAGCCAGAAACAGCATCAGATTTCCGATGCCCACTCGGGTGTGGTCGTTCGTGTCTGTGCTGTGCACTGTCGCCTTGTCTATGGGTTTCGCTGCCAACTCGTTCACCATCTGGGAAGACGACATACTCTTATTTTTCATCTCAACGATTGGTGTGCTGTTCTTTCTGTGCTCGATGCGCATCGTTTCCGTCGTCGAGCGTACGTGGGCGTGCTATCATTCTGCCGTCTTCGTCATCCTGACACGTCTGGCCTCACTCTCGCGATTGTGCCGCGAGGAGCAGATGCCCTACTGTGTTTCCACATACTATGCTTCCTCGAACTCCTCGACCTCCGCAGCCTGGCAGCTTCTCATCCCCTTCACCGTAGCCTTCGTCCTGCCAGGAGTCGTCAAGCAGTATTACGTTAACACGCGCTCCTACCACCATTCTGCGACTCTCTGGATCGGCGTCGCATTTAGAGCGTCCCTTGCTATGAGCGCGTCTTTCTGGGCTCTGGACGCCGCCGATGATCGCGAGCTTTTCGGCGCAGATGTCAGCAACACCCTTAAGACGATCAAGGTCATGCTTGCTCAGACCATTCTGGGAGTCGCTATCCCGGTGGGGTACTCGATCTACGCGTGGGCTGCGCCTTTGGTCCACGTTGTTTCGGTGCCCGTTTTCGATGCCCCCGCGCACTCCTCGTCCTACTTGCCAGCGGGATTCCTCTCTCAGGACGGAAAGAACCTGCTGCGGATCCTCGGCTACGAGAACGCCCACGGCAGTCGCTACTTCATCCTGCCCACTATGTACGCAGCGGCCATCATTTTGTTACAAAAGCCAATGGGTACTGGTGCCATAGCAACCCTTCTCTGGCAGATCATGTCGCTCCTCGAGATTCTTGCGGCAAATGATCTGCAGCAGAGCGCCGTCGGGCCCATCACTCTGGCGTTACTTGGTAGCTTCCACTTTTTTAAGACGGGCCACCAGGCGACGCTGGCGAGTATCCAGTGGGAGAGTGCATTCATACCGCTCAAAAGCATCGTCTACCCGTGGTCTCCCGTTTTCGTCATTCTCAACACTTTCGGTGCCCAGATCCTTACTGCAGTCGCTGTGCCCGCAATCCCGCTCTGGCGGCGCGACCCGTCGAGGAAAAACCTGCTTGCGGACGTCGCCAAGGCCGTCACGACGTACCTGGCCTTCTTCGCGACCGAGGCCCTAGCAACCAGCGCGTGGGCCGGCTACTTGAGGAGACACCTTATGCTGTATCGCATCTTCTCACCCAGGTGGATGATGGCCGCGCTAACGCTCGTGGTGGTCGACGTCGTGGCCATCTTCATTGGGCTCGGAGGGGCCAGGTGGAGCTTTCTGAGCTTGGGCGAGGTGTTTGGGATCTACACTTGAGTATGACACACTTGCTTATACTCACATACACACAAACTTTCTCTCTCTCTTCTCAACGCTTTGGTTTTATGACTTATGCATCTTCGTCATCGTCATAATCATCAACATCATCATTGTCACAGCGAAGGAGGGGAAAACTCGTCTGAGGCTAAAATAGCGCTCATATCTTTCGTCGTTCTTCAAGGGGAAAAGAAACTTTTTGCTTAGATCAATCAAGGTTCTCCAGCAGTTTTGCATTCTCCGCATCTGCTTGGGATGTAGAATAGACGGCGGTTTTAGAATCAATCCCCCGGGGTTTGCAGTCCAGCGTCCTTCATTCCATTCTACAGCGAATCCGTTACTTTTCAAGTCCGTCGCCAACTGGTAGCAATCTGCTCCGCTGTATGCCAACCAGGAAGTGCAATGCTTTCGATAAGATTGTGCAGCGTTCAAGAGATGAGAGCCGAAAGGGATGCATATGATGGTTTACGATTGATTATCTGATTTTAGCACAATATAACTTTTAGATGGAAATTCGTGTGAAATAGCCACATGACCTTCGAACACATTGCCAACGGCCATATACGTTAACAATATGAACTGTCTTACCTATACGACAAGACCTCAATGGACCATGACCAATCGTTTTAACTTTATTGGACACATTACAGAGTCAAGAACTTCGCATGGCGTCCATCAACCCTATGCACTAACGAAACAGAATAATTGCACCTTTCTAATGCTCTCACACTTTTTATGCAACTCATAACTCCCGATTATAACTTTCTTCTGATAGCAATAAAGTCACCTCTTGCGGACATTAGGCGCTTGCTCTATCTTAATCAGAGTGGCGTCTTCTGGCTAACCGGAGACTTGACCAAGGATAACAAACCTCAGCCTTGCGCAACATGACCCATAATAGGGTAAAGGGTCAAGAATTGATGCTGAGAGATATAGTTGATGGCACCAGTAAAGACAAGGATCTGTTATAACAAACTTCAGTTCTACGCAGATCAGATACGGCATGATGGATTATATTATTTCTGGATCGACAGCTCCCGTATTGCCTAGTCTGAGATTTCTGAGGTCTCACATGAAGTTAATGCAATATTTCGGTGTATCATGATGCCAGAGAATGTTATGTTTACTTGTCAGATATTGTATACCTTCTCCTTGGAGCAAAGCATTACCAAGCGTGTCCAACCTATGACCCTGCATTTCTCGAAAGCCCTAACTTAAGCGATAACAGGTACCGTGCGCCCAGCGCTCCAAGGATTATGCATCTTTAAGTTCAACTGGAGGAGCGTTTTAAATGGATCACAAACCGCCAGGCAACGCAATCAGAAGACTAGTTCTTTTCGATTCTTGGGCTTTTTTTGATATCGAGATGCCTATATTTTATGGTGTTGGGGGTTTGTACGAGCACATAATGGTCTACTTTAGGCTGTTGAATAACGGGGAAATCAGTATGCTAGATCTGCACATCGCTGATCCGCCGGAAGACAAAGAGCGCATTGAAGAGACAAAAGGAGTATTGCTGAAGAATTCATCCTGATGGATTATAGAGAACGTCGACTTCCAACGCTAGCGCAATACTCAGCAGAGTAGTATGCTCTGGGTAAAAGGTAAACCTGGTGAGGCATGACAGTGCCACTTTGCGGAACCATCGATGATCTGGAAACTTCAAGGGCCCAGGAAAGTCCACTAGCCTACATCCTCTGCCAGGCTTCAGATGCACGGATCGATATCGCCAAAGCTGTGCTTGAGTCTTGATATATTTGCTGGCTTGCCAAGAGCCATCGTTTGTGTAGAGCAAGTATGAGCAAGTAGGGAACGTGGTTTTTGAGGATGCAAATGCCTGGATTTCTTTACATGAGATTTTCAGAAATGCCCTCCAAGACCAAAATATAGGTGTTGATTATATCATTATTGATGGTTTAGATGAGGGCATAGATGACCTGCCACAGCTTCTACGCATAATACAGAGAACAATCAGCAACGTCTCTCCATTTGAACTGAGTTATCTCAAGTCAGAACGGGCCGGATGCTGATGAAGAGCTTGGCATGTACACGCATTAGACTTGATTATCTCTTGAATTGGATGTGCGTCGGTTGTAAGTGCTTTTGACATACATATCAAAACTAAAATGAATCTATTAGCACGAAGACAACATTGCGATGACGAAATAACGTTGAAGCATCTTATAATGCCCCTGGGATTATACTGAAAGTACCTTTCTTTGGATGGCTCTTGATTGTGAAGAACTCCAAGAGGTCTCTCGACTGCGCGCACTTTCAGCAGTGAAACAACTTCCTCCTGGTCTGAACCTATTCTACGAATGGATGCTTAGGCAGATAGGAGATAAGGCTTTATGCAGATATCTCATAGCGGCCATGACAGTCACATATCGACCCATAATCCTTGTTGAGGTAGATTTTCTTGGAGAAGTAGTACATAACTTACTAACGTGAGAGCGATCCTTACAGTTTGTCTGACAGATAGTTGGTCCCGTACTTTGGTCTCCAGATGTGTTGCATGACAATAATTATACGCAGACTATACGGCTAGATTCGAAATGACTCTCGAATTCTTGAACCCCTAAGCTTTCATGGACGAAAGCTCTTGAACTTGAGAAGTGTTATTTTGCAGACCACACCAGCAATTCAGCGATAAATGATGTTGGCGCATGGCATCTGACACAGACGCTCATTGTCGTAGAAGTAGTATGTCTCCCTTGTTGGTTGAATAGGATTGCCACTTCCGACGACGCAGAATATTGCGCCTAAATTTTTGACTGCGGGAAATCCTTTTTCACTGAACATCTCAAAGTTACGCTGAAACAAAAATAAAGCGAACATCCACAGTCTTTCAGCTTTCCGCAAAATCCCTTCTACTTTCAATGCTATAGGATGTGTTATGAATAGCAGCAGGTCTGGGCTTCAATATCGCAACATCAAATCTCTCCAGAATGTCAGAGCTCATCATACTTTCCCTCTTCAGCCGAGGCAGCTATCCTTCTTCCATCCTTTCCCAAGGTATCCAATCCAATATCCTCACCCATTTTTCTTGCCGTAGCATTTCCAGTGGACATTGCAATGGCTTGTCTTCCGGTCTCCGTCTCCTGCAGCCACTCTCTGAGTTTCGCCTTGGCTATTGCCAATCCTTGATTCGATGCTGCAGTGGTCATTTGGATAATCGGGCCCCATAAGTTGAGGGTGTAAGTTACATAAGCACCAGTGGCAAGTAGGATCAGGAGGAGAATGAGGAATGGGTTTCGAGCAACTTAACTCTTTGTAAGCATATGTAAAGTATACGTGAATTATTCGAGAGGAGAGAAAGAAAAGACATACCAGCAAAAATCTCATTTTGGCCAAGGACAAGGAGCAGACCCCACATCCACCATGGCGTCTGTGTTACTCCTCCGAGAGCACCGCGCTTGGCTTCGACATAAACGCCGTCTGCGGTCTTCCGGAATCGCCGTTCCATGTCAGCTTTCTTTGCATCGGAGAGTATAATGGTCTCCTCTTCAAGACTCTTGCCATCGTCCTCGTCAACCCCGCCAATCGGGGGCATATCTTCCTCTTCTGCCGCGCTAACACTCGCTGGGGCGTGTCCGATCCAAGCATCCAGTGGCGGAGGCGAGTTTATCTTCGCGAGCCTGAATTTGGACAACAAAGGAATGATTGAAAGTGTATGATCTCTTGCCTTCGCAAAGATTCCATCGATGTCGTCGGTAGGACGCCATATCCTTGGCACACCATGCTCGTCGTATCGGAACCGATCCTCGAAGTTTTCCCTCAATTTCATGAGAAGGTTGCCCTCCATGGTCTCTTCGTCGATCTTCGCGCGGAGTACGCCCCAACTTTTTCTCCGAAGCCGCCATAGACCGATCTCAACCTCTTCTAGAGAAGCGTCGTAGCTCTTCGCCCGCTCCGTAAAGCGCTTCTCAGCCTCTTCGACGGTCTCAGTAAAGATGTTCCATATCCGATCCCAGATGAAGAGTTCGTTTCCTCCAGCATGCTTCGCACCTTGCTCAGGAGCACCAGACCCACCTCGTCCCGACCCAAGGGCATTGAACTCAAGGCCGATGCTGTCTCCGAGGCGGGAACGCACCCAGCGCTCAACACGAGTGGCAAGGCGGCGCATTTCTTCCTTACGCAATTGTGCTGACACTTGGTCCAGCTCCTTGCGGAAAAGATCGAGCCCTTGAGTGGCATCACTGAAGTTTGTGCCTTCCACAGATGCTGCCAGTGCCGTTTCGCGAAACGTATCGTACGCCTTCCTCTTTTCATTTGAAACAATTTCTGCAAAGTCATACTGAATGCCTTGCTTTTGTCCAAGTTTGACAGCTGCCGCAACGGCATCGGAAAAGGCCTTGATTCCTATCTTGTGTGCAGCTTGGAGCTGTCCCACAAAAAGGTCCTTCAATCTCTTGTCCACGTTGGCTTGTAGCTCCTCGCGTTTGCGTGCGTAGACGCCTTTGTGGTACCTGCCTGCCTCGGTCTCGAAATTTCTGAACACAGTCATCCTTGCGGTCGTCATAACGGAACCGAGATTCGGTAAGAGAGATGATATGCCCGCTTTAACATCGCTTGCCTGCGCAGTCTCCAACGGAGATATGGTCTCGTCAAATGCCAACACCACCTCCCTTGCAATCTCATCGCACCTGAACTGGGCCAGAAGCTCTTGTTGCGTTGGCAAGTCCAGATCTTTGTTGTTCACAATCTGGTTCCATACCCCTTCCGCATACACACTGAAACCGTCTGCCGGTATGCGTCTATGGTATTCGGGAAGAAGGAGTGGAGATTCATCGTCGTTGAGAAGACCTTGCTTCTTTGGATCTTTGTAACCTTCTTTGAACCGTGTGCTCAGCTGTTCGACCGCAGCGTCAAACTTCTCTGGCATTAAAATCTTATGTGGTAGTGCTTCGAACGCGAAGTCAAAGTAGTCATGAATTTTGGAGGTTTCGAGCCCTTCAGGTTTTGAAATGCTGTCCCACAGACGTGAAAGATCGGAAAGGAGGGTATTGCGAAGATTGGACAGAGGGGTGTTTCCAATGTAGTCTCGAATGACAAAAAACAGTAGCGATCTGGGGATTGACCTGTCGAATATCAGCGCCTCAACAATGGCAAATATCAAACCGTTTGCTCGTACTTGCTGTCCTTTATAAAAAGTTGCAGATTGACTTCAAACACCGTTTTCAACAGCCCCATGTTCGCGCCATGGTAGAGACCGACTTGGTGCTCCCAGATGTTCACGATGAGAACCTCGCTTGTAGCAAGCGCGAACAGAGCTGCCTTGCGCTCGAAATCCTGGTCTTCGCCTCGTTCTCTGCCGTCCGTTCCTTCGACGTCCATTACGAGGACGTTTTCTGCCATGCCGGACTCAGAAGATGACCTCTTGTTTTTGGACATCCATATGCCCTTGGTGGTCTGGCGGCGCTCCTCCTCACTCATGACGCCAAAGTCTGTCTTGAAGAGCGCGTTAAGCAAAGTCGACTTGCCCGTCGACTGCGAGCCGAAGACGGAGATCAGATGATAGTTGAAGCCCGCAGGTACTATCTGCTCCATCTTAAGATACTGCGCTACGTTGGGACTGTCGCGCACGTTGTTAGCAGCTAGATGTCCATCGGTGCGTTTACGTGTACAGACTTAAAGTTCTTATCCTCGTCTATAATCTGGATACCTCTCGTATACTTGCTCACCGCATCCCCGTCCTTGACATTTGCGAAATGGCCGTTCATGATCTTCCCTGGCGCACTTCCCAAGTCGACCTGTAGTGTCGGTCTCCTGGGTTTCTGCAGGAGATCCGTGCCTGATCGTGACGATGATTCTAAGGAAAAGTCTCGCGAAATATTAGACGTGTGTCCGGAGGATTCGCCGTTGACAGCGGAAGACATATCCAACCAGAGTATACGGACAAGGTGCTGAGAACCAGATGCGTTCTCGATGACGTTGGCTGAGGGATGCAATTACAGGACAAGCTGGCCAATGGTAAAGCGTCGAGGCACGTTTCGCAGCGCCCCCGTGAAGATTTCCAGGAATACGGCGGGTCAATGGCTATGTGAACAGATGAGCGTAGGGTGTTGCATAGAAACGAGTTGAACTGTAAGGACATCCGTACACGTTAATCTACGTTGTCTGGCATACAAATGGGTGTTGCATCAGACGTCCGACTGTCTGCCACTGACCCACCCAAAGTGGCCAAGCTCGACACCTTATAACCTAAGCTGCATCTAATTTAACTATCAAAGAGCCGACCTCTCTTGAGTTTCCCCGTGCCATTCTTGCGGCGGTCCATCACTCGATTCATGCTTCACACTGTACGCGGCACTAATTGGGATTCGCATGAGGATTTTGACTATGATCTTGATCGCTATGTTTGTTGCTTCTGTCCTTTGCCCTAGTCTCTCTTGTGCCCACCGTTCCTCAGCGTACAACTTGCTCGGCGACCGACCTCAATGTTTAAATTACATGTGATTGGACTCTCGCACATCCCCAGCTAACATGAAGTCATCTCCTGCTAGGTTCTGCTGCCGATCCGCATCATGCCATCAGAAGCAGTGCACTGCCTCTTCTGAGAAGTACTTGAATCCCAGTGGCATATTCCTCAGTTCTAAGAGAGTAGCACAGTATTGCAGTCTGAAATATAGTTGTCGTTGTCTGCTCATACGGCTCCGGCCTACGATGACCCTATGTTTCGATCGTTATACTGACATTACAGCGAAGATGCTTCGTCTTCCAGACGCAAGTTGAGATTGCCTCTTGCAAGGCCGCGTTCGAGTGAAGAGACGCCGCGCATTTTGGTTAAATTCTCACGAACAAGCGACAGCCTTGCCACTAAGCTCTGTGCGTAGCTTAAAACTTGCAATGTATCATGCGTGTATAGGATGAATGTTCATCACGGCTATCTCTCTCCATGCCTATCTGTTGCAATATCACCGTTGACAGCCTTGTGAAAATCAATGTACTACCTCCGCAAGTTAGGATAAACAATGAACATGTGCGAAATACATGGCAAATACCTGCGAATGGTGATTTTTTTTTTTTTTTTTTTTTTTTTTGGGGGGGGGGGGGGGGGCCTGCGCTCGTGTACAATCACGCACACCAAAGTCAATCGCTGGACAAGGCGTGCTGTGTTGTGTCTGTCCAGATTCAAGAGGCAGTCTCTTCTACGCGCAGATTTGCCTGTGCATCGCCGCCAGCTTACTGTTATATGGCGGATGGACAAATGAAATATCTCAGCACGTAAGTCTCGTTTTTCGAAGGGGTGATGAGAACAAAAGGGCCATTTCTAAGCTCTCTTTTTGGAGTATACGGCGGAGCTGCGACCTATATCTATACATGCTATCCAGAAATTTCATCACGGTGTCGCTCCCCAATTAAAATCAAGATCAAACTCTATGACGAAGAAGCCGTCGGGTATGGGCGGGCATCAAAATTTACAAATGCTCTTTAAGTTGTAAAAGTGTTCATCACGTCACCGACACTCCTCGGCGGCTTGCGTCCACCCAGTTCCAAGTGTCTTCTGCCTTCGTGCCGGGCGCCAACCAGCCATTACCCTCAGATCTGGTCTGTGCAGTCAAAGATGCTTCTTCTCTTCTCTTCTCCTCTTCCGCCCCTTCGCCTCTGTATCCACCAAACACGGCGTCATTTGCCACCATCGAGCTCTCGGTGAAAGAGGCTTTGTCTACTAGCGGAGTCGCAACCTCGTGGACAGGTAGCAGTGAAGGCATGTCTCTAAGTCGCTGCCTTTTCTCGGCCTTTGCATGGTGTCCACTCGTCCTGTCGTATAAGTATAAACCTAGGAAAGTGAGTGCAATTCCCATGGCCTGGACGCTCGTGACCTTGTTGCCGAACCAGACGATGGCGAAACAGATTACAAAGACGCGCTTGATGAGTGAGGCGACAGAGTACGTCACTGGAGAGACCATAGATAGAAGCGTGAAGGCGATGAGCGACTGGAAGAAGTGGAATGCGCCATTAAAGACATACTCGAGCAAGAGCGCCCCATGATCAAGAGAGTTCTTGTGCACCTCGAGGTCCACACTAGCGTCGAACAGGAAATCCCCGATGATGCCGATACCTTCGCTCCACAACCAAATGGGTGCCGTGAAGGCAAAGGCGAGCGCAGATGAGTAGCACAGCAGGTTCAACTTGTCCGGCTTTCTACTCTTTAGAGGACCTATGTCAAGCTCGGCGGCAGCAGCCTCGCTGAACAGCTTCTTGGACACAATGTTCTGGGTTACAAAGAGAATGGCCGAACTGAAGGCCGAAAGAAGACCGAGAAAGTTGTTGCTGAACTGAGTGGAGCACGCCATGATGACGCCAATGGTGAGGGGGAGGAGGGAGAGGTAGGTCGTGTAATGGTACTTGACATCGAAGATGAAACGGTACGCAAAGACAGTAAACAGGGGACTTAAGCCCTTGATGGTATGGACAAGCGAGACGGGGATGCGGGACATGGCATCGGAGGTGAGTATATGGCCGCCGATCATGAAGCCAGTGAGGGGTAGAGTGGTCATTATCAGGTCGCGGCTAGGACGCCGCACGCCGTTGCGCAGGGCGGGAAAGTGATGTTTGAGTGCCGGATAGAGGCTTGCCAGCCAGGAGAGGGCGAGGCACCAGGAGCTGACGAAAAAAAACTGCACGATCGTGAGAGTGACGGGCTTAGGGAACGTGTTTAGGATCTGACCCGCCGAAGTGTTGGCCAACATCGACATTCCATACCATGCCGCGCAAAGAATCTGTGAATGACGTTGATTAGCACCATGAACGAGCACAGCTTGGCGCGCGAGCAGGCGCCGTGCATTTTGCTGCTCACCACTAGGCGCGGCGACACGGGCGCCTTAAGCGCATCCGCAATCTCCTGCGCATTCTGGCTCATGCTTCCATTTCGCTCTCTGATGATCTGGATAGCTTCGCTGAGACTCCGCTGGCGCCCATGCCCTCGTCCTCGCGAGGGAAGTCGGATATGGCTCTGGCTGGCCTGGGCCCTGCTGTTTCTGCGAGACTGCCAGTGGGATGACGCTTGGAACCTGCCTGTGCCGGCGTCATTGTCCAGGGACTGCCGCAGCGTCAGCGACGGATTGCGCTCCGGTGACGACGTGGAGCGTCTGTTGTTGTCATCTGTATGGGCCATAACGTCGGGTGCGAAGGCGGGAAATTTGGACATGCCTCCGTTGGCCGTGACTGGGGAGGCTGTCTCCATGTTGGTCGTCCTCGACGGCGCGATGGTGGCAATGGTTGTGCTGATGATGAGGGCGGAGGTTGCAGTCATTGCCCAGTACCGCCTCCTCCTGTTCTGCGCAAATCAAGCGAGTGTAAGGACGAACATGCGGCGACTATGACAGTGCCATTGGAATGATTGTGGCTCTCGTGTCGTCCCAATTCGCAAGGTGGTATTTCCTGAGAGATACGCACAAGCCTGGCCTAAGTGCCGGAGTCCCTGCACGAACGCCGTCACAGGGTATTCTGGCGCAGAGAGCAAAATGCGGCTCCGACAACTGAAAAACAAGCTGACTGCGCGCAATGCACTGTGGAGAGACGATGGGAGCGAGACGATGGAGAAGATGGAGTTGCACAGGAGACAAAGGACGCTCGTACTAAGGCCAGTGTGGCCAGTCAGGACCGCTTCCGTGATCCCACGCCCTTTTGACGACTTGGCCAGAAAAGGCCACGGCCGCGTGTACGCGCAACCATGTCCGGCGGGAAAACTTCCTTTGGAGCCAACAACCTGCAAAGGCTAAACTCACAACATTGCACTTGAACAAGCCACTTCTCGCACTTATCGACAACCACGACGGGAATGCTGTGTTGATTATACGACGACCCTAGGAGGAAAGAAAGGATTCTATCTTGCAGCCATATCATTCTCCTTGCCATGTGATGATCTGTACCCACTTGCCATCATTGATGCCGCTTGGTCTGAGATGAGCCAGATCGCACTGTGCGCCATCTTTGCCACGTTCGGCCTCCTATTGCCCCTTACAAGCCCTTTTGTCACAGACTGGCAAGATGGCAGTCTGCAAGCAGTGCTAAATGTTGACGTTCCGGGCCTGCCCTGGATCACGTTCAGCGATGAGTGGGCTGTCTTGGGCCCTTTCCAAATTGGCACACGAGGCATGTTTGAATGTTGCTTCGTCACTCTACATAAGTTATTGTCGCTTTTGCACGCTGACTGAAATACATCGCAGAAGCACCCTGGGGAGCAGATCCTCTCGAATACTACGGAGGATTCCCAACACTGCGTGCCGACAACGAGGCAACATTCAAAAGCTCTCTGACTCCGAATGGAACGCTCACGTGGTCCTTCGCAAAAGCGCATTGCGCACCCGCTACCAACGGCGGTTGCAAGCTCTCGCTTCGTGTCGAATTTCCCAACGTAGACTGGGTCTTCCTTCAGGCCGTCTACGGATGGTCCGCCCTTCAATGGCAGGGTTGGGCGCAAGGCGAATTCTACATCCATGCCGACACTCCAGTCTCCGTCGTCTTGTACACAGACCATGTTCTTGAGTATGCACTCGACGGCGAGCGCCATTTCGGCGGTGACTTCTACTCGTTTCGCAAATCACCCCCTGTCTTTCGAATCGCTCCTGGGAAGCATGTTCTTGACGTGAGGCTCGTACGTGATGTGCGGTCTATGGGTGGAGTGGGAAACCCTTACATGGACGTTGGTATCGAGATTGCGCCTACGGCGGAAGTTGCTGAGGCGGTGGAAGGAACCGCTCTTCTGTCTGATATTGTAGATGGCGTGTTACCCAGTCCGTACGCAAGCGTTGATATCCGGAATAATGGTCATGAATGGATCCAGGTGCTTGATGTAGCTGTCGTTCAGCCTATTGTAAGTGTATATATGTGTGAGCCGTCTTGCCCTCCAGTTGACACGCAGTAGTCGGAAGTGTTTACTGCTTCACTATATGAGAATAAAATCAGGAGGGTTGCTCCTGGACAAACTCGTCCAGTCGTCTTTCTTCTTCAACTCACGAGTGGAAATGGACCAGTTCAGAACGAGATTGAGCTTGCCGTCAAGTACCAGCTTGCGTGCGAACCAGGCAAGACCAGAAGCATGAACGTTTCCTTTCCGTTAAGACACAAGAACCAGAGGCATGCGCACAAGTTAACTCATCTTCACCCTGCCGGCATCATCAGCTACTCCATTCTGCGCCCCCCGTCTGAGAACGCTTCCTGTCACGGCCGCACAAGCTCTTTCAAGGCCCCAGTTATGCTGCAGTTGCATGGCGCCGGTGTCGAGGCGGACAGCGACATGATCTATGATGTTTTTGATCTGCTTCCGAGCCTTTGCGCATGGATCCTTTTTCCTTCTGGCGTCACGCCATGGTCAGGCGATGATTGGCACATTTGGGGATTTACTGACGTCCTAGCCTCCATCGACGGGATAACAAATTGGATCGAAGCCACCGGCTGGGGTGGCGTCCGCGTCAACACTGATCAGTGGTTCGTTGGCGGCCATTCAAATGGTGGCCAGGGAGCATGGTATGCGCTTTTGCACTATCCAGACAACGTCTTTGCTGCCTCTCCTCTTTCCGGATATCTCTCCATCAACGAGTACGTTCCTTACAAATTCTGGAGACCATCAGAACCAAAAAAACGTGCTGTGCTCGAGGCGGCGTTGAACAGCTACCGCGCTGAGTACCTTGTTCCAAACGCAAAGGGTATCCCGATCCAGCAGCAACACGGCGGCGCGGATGACAACGTACCTCCATATCATTCCCGCCTCATGAGTGAACTAATAGTAGAAGCTGACTGGAATAGCGGCTACCTTGAGGTGCCAGGCAAGCCGCACTGGTGGGATGAGGTGGTAACCTCGGATGCTCTTACGAAGTTTTACAAGGAGCAAATAGACAGGGTACAGGAGGATCGCAAGATCCCTTCGACGTTTGAGCTCGTGGTCGCGAATCCGGCAGATACAGGGAGTAAATTCGGAGTGAAGGTGCTTTACCTTGTCGTGTCAGGAGAGCTTGGAAGAGTCGTTGCGACTCTGGATGAGAGCAAGCAGCAGTGGAGATTTGAGACACAAAATGTTCTTGCTTTCCGACTGAAGAGAAAGATGGCGCAACGCCGTGTGGTGATTGACAGCGAGGTCATGGATTTCGCCTCGGATGGTGGTCTCGAGACCACAGATGCGGTTGAGGTATGGAAAGATGCGCGCGGTGAGTGGACAACAAAGGTGAGCTTGTTGCTTGAGTTGTCGGGGTGCGAATTGAGTTGACGAGATGAGTGTAGAAGCCTCAAGACAAGATGGTGCCGAAGGTTCCCTTGGGTGGACTTGAGGCCATTCTGCGATCTGAAGGACCATTCACTGTCGCGTATCACGGCGACAGCTTTGCCACCGCTCTTGAGGTGGCTCGTAATCTACACCAATACTTCTTTGCTGACGCCGAGGTTCTGGAGGGAACAGAATTGGAGCTTGTGCCTGCGAAGGTCGGGAATCAGATAACGATCGGAATCGGCGATGACATGCCTCCTGGTTTCTTTTCGAGCGAAAAGTCATTGGCAGGCCACGCCGATGCATTGAGTGACGGCAGACGGATGTTGCAGGTCTTGCTAGGTCGCCACATATCCGGACAACTTTCTTCATGGGTCTCAGCTCAAAGTGAAGTGGGAGCTATCTTTGTGCGGCCGCTCGACTCCCGGCTGGAACTGGTCGTCTGGGGCTCGAACGCGGCCATGCTGAGGCGAGTCGCGCGTCTGATGCCCACCATCTCTGGCGTTGGACAACCTGACTGGATCATGTGCGGGACAAGCGCCGCATGGAAGGGCCTGGACGGGTGTGAACTGGGGTTTTTTGATGCCAGACGGAGCGAGGAGGGATGAGCGAGACTTCACTTGGGGGTCAGGACGGCACGCAAAGTGAATTTGAGGAGGATGAGAGCAAAAAGACGTGACGGTCGGATCAAGACCATATATATATAACCGGAAACCATGTCGCTGGGTCCTTTCCTGCTCCTTTCTGTCCCTTCAGCATTTGCAACGTTGCTCAGACATACCGGCCGCAGCTTGTCGTCGTGGCCGCGACGACATTACACAGATACACACGCGCTCACTCACACAATCTCTCTCTCTCTGATTTCAGCACACGGGGTCTCGAAGCGCCGAGAGTCGCGCCTTCTGTCAGCGCCACGGGACGTGACACGTTTGAGCGGGGTGAGTCTCACTTGCAGTGTAAATATTGCCCAGGGTCTGTCCACCATGGACTCTCGCGTCCAGCCTCGTCTCGGCAACGACCACATGTCGCGCCTGCAGCATCTGGCCGTCGTTCAGCCACGAGCAGCAAAGCATCAGCAGCAACACCAGAAACGGACCCAGATCAGCCACCGCCACCAAGAGACGGAGCCCGAGCCCGAGCCCCGGCAGAATCCTCCCGACAATGATGACGACCGAGACGACGATCTAGACAGCCTTTCCACCGTCACCGCGCCGTTTCCAGAGTACAGCGAGGTCGAGGCCGAGGCCGAGGCCGAGCGGGCAAGGCACAGCGCATCTTCTAGGCCCACCAGCGTCCGCTCCTTCCAACCTCCTCAGCTTGCCCTCCAACGGCATCCGCTTCTTCCTCCCTGGGCGATACCGATGCCTCACATAGTCGCCGCCCCCATGGTGAGTCCTTCTCTCTTTCTCTCTCCTTTTTCTTTGTCGCCTTGTATCCCGCCACCACCACCACCACTACCACTGCCACTACCACTAATTCCTCCTCCTTTTTCTCCTTCTCCTCCTCCTCCTTCTTTTCCTTCCTCCTTCTTCTCCTTCTCCTCCTCTTCTTCCACCACCACGCCGTCCGTTCTGCCGCTGCCTTGGTGTGCTCGAGCATGTTGCCCCTGCCGTCCTGTGTTGGCTTCGTAACTTGCAGAAGATTCTTGAGGCTTGCAACCGCACATTGTCGCCATCTTCATCTTTTGCCTTCCTTTTCTCCTTGCTTTTGCCCTTCTCACCTCGTCTTGTTTCGTCCAGTTCTTCTTCGCCTCATCCCGTTTGATTTGTGTCTATCACAACTTCTCAACTCATTTGGCGCCCTGTCCCGAAGTGGTGACAAAACTGACACCTGCTCTGCGTCTTTGTTGTCCCAACCTAGATTATCGCCTTTGTCATTTTCATCTTCACCACAATTTTGTTTTGTCCTTTCTTTTTGTCTCCTTTGCGGCTCTACTGCTCACTGTTCGACTTCGGCAGACAATCCTGCCCCCCAAGTTGCACGTCCCCAACAACAGGAGCATGCAGCCTGTCTCCGGTCCCTCAGATGCTATGCGTGGCATGGTGGCACCCAATGTGAGCAACTCAATCACAGACCAAGGTAGCTCCCCAATCTATCCTGTAAGCCACCCAGATCCAAGCAAGTTTTGGAGACGATGCTGAACACGGTGCCAGAACACAACCCAAAGCGAAGCCAACCAAGCAAATGCACGCTTCTTGGTAAGGAGTCTAACTATTGTCTTTTATCCTAGCCACTCTCCCAAAGTCAATTCTGACCTCTCGCAGAACTACACTCTTTCCTCGACTTCTCCACTTGCTAGTCTCGCAGGCAATGTTTCTACCACCGCATATCACTCTCACTTTCACAGCGGTTCCTCTTCGAGCACCGTGTCGGGCAGTAACAGCAGTAGAGTTTCTTCAACTGTTTCTGCCATCGTCAACCCTTCACATGATGATCGGGTTCACATGGGTTCCCATCTCGCACCGGTCAATTTTCATGCCAGCGAGCTTGCACAGGAGAACAGCCACGTTCGATCAACACGCGAATTGATCTCGGAGAGCACGACTTCTTCCTTGAGTGCAAATGTTGGCCAACTACATGGAGGACAATGCAGGTCCTCATCGTACGTCTTGGGCCCACCTCCTACGTCCTCCGGTTATGACGGCTACGCATCTGCCCCCAGTGGTCACCTTGGGGTCGGTTCCCGGACAGGTTTCTATCACGGGTTAAATAGTACCATTTGGAACTCGAGCGCTCCCAACACCTACGGAGGCACTGTCTCAGCGCCCGCCCTTCCTCCATATTCTGCTCCGGCTCCTGTCAATAGCTCCAACTCGCTACTCGTCACAGAGCCCATTCAAATGTATCGTGCCACCACTCATCCAATTATGGCACCTCGCGTTACTCCCGATACACAGCGCAACGCCCGTAGTAATGGATTTTCTCATGCACAATTTGGCTACAGTGGCTATAACAACCCCCACGCTTCATACGGTCCGCTCGGTTCGCGCCTTAACGCTAATGCTGCTGAATTCAATCATGAGACAAGCATAGTCGAGTCCTGGAATCCTTCTCCTCTAGGTAAGCACGTGTACTTACATCCTGCTCAGCAGATCAATTGGCGCCAGCTACTCGAGCCTGGCGTCACGGCAGACTGGGACTTGATCGTCGACAAGATCATAAGCAACAATGACCAGCAGGCCTCGATCTTTCTACAGCAGAAAATAAAGAATTCCGATACAGCCATAAAAGATGACATCATTGGAAGTATCATTCGCCGCGGTCTAGAGTTAATGGGTAACCGCTTCGGTAATTTCCTCATCCAGCGTGTCTTCGAGTGTGCCAATCAAGCTCAGATCGTGGGACTTGCCGCTCACATTGAGGGTCATACCGTTCGTCTTAGCACCGACGCATTTGGCTGCCACGTCATTCAGAAGGCCTTCGACTGCGTTCCGGAAAGCTTCAAACACCAGATGGTTCGCGAGCTCCTATCTCGTATCCGCGATACCATCGTCCACCGCTATGCTTGCCATGTTTGGCAAAAATTGTTTGAGCTTCGGTGGCAAGGACCTCCACCGATGATTATGGGTACGGTGAACGCTGCCCTCGTCGGTCAATGGACTCAAGTCGCAGTGGGTGAAACTGGCAGCCTCGTCGTGCAAAACATATTCGAGAACTGCAATGATGAGGACAAGCGCCCATGCATTGATGAAGTGTTGGCCAATCTTGATTACATCGCCCGTGGTCAGTATGGAAACTGGTGTATTCAGCATATCTGCGAGCATGGCTCTCCACACGATCGAGATGTTGCCATCTCCATGATTCTTTCTCGAGCCGCCGATTACAGCATGGACCAGTACGCATCCAAGTGCATTGAGAAGTGTCTCAAAGTTTGCGGGAGTGAATTTCTCGACCGATACCTGCAACAGATCCTAGTGCGCGCTCCCGGAGAGAACTTCAGTCCACTTGTCCAGAGTAAGCTTGCTTCAATAATCTTATAATATCCCTCATACTGACTTTTCCCCGCAGTTGCGCGTGACCAGTATGGCAACTTTTTGATACAGTGGATCTTGAACAACGCCAGTCCCCACCTCCGTGAGATCGTTCAAGCTGAGATCCGGTGTGTATACCCCAGCATACCTCCAGTGGCAACTCGAAGGTTAATGCGGCCACGTTTGCAGCAAGCATTTGGTCTCCCTTCGCGGCAACAAGTATGGATCTAAAGTTGCACTTTCATGCGGCTATGGTCCTCAAGGTGTACGACCCGGTGTGCCTTTTGCTTCGGCTCATTTTCGGCACCATAATGGAGGACCTCGCATTTCACAGCAACAGAATCATCCCTTTCCAAATCATTCATCGACATTTCCAAATCCATATCAGGTTGCTCGACTCGATGGAGCTGCTCGAGCTCGCTCCGGAATCCGCCCTATTTATGTCCATTTTCCAAGCCGCGCTTATCCTCCTAACCAATATAACAGCGGAGCCGGTTTGTACAACTAACACAATTTCCAAGTTGAGTCCACCCAAGGCAACATCCTGGAGTGAACTAATTCAAGACCTGACACATTCCTGGGGCTGCATAAAATTGAACATGTCTTACATATTAATATGTCTTGTTATGTTTGCGGTGTGCGCGGAGCAGTTTCACGTCTCCTTACCACTAAAAAAAAAAAAAGGGCAGCGTTGCTTCAATCTCCAGAAACGAAACTTTCGACGTTCTTGGCCTTCAATCACGTTTCTTCTAATCTAACTCCTCGTCCCACGCTACTGAAATCTAAGGAGTTCAAGATTCGCAAATGGAGAAAAATTACGAAATGAATCAAAAAGATGCACCTGTCTACGCTCTCAGCAGAGCTATTTGGATCGTGTTGCTGCAGACGGTACTTTCTATACCATCTTCTCAACATGGCTACTTGAGGTGTCCTGGTTCAAAGGAGCTTTCAGATCGCTAATCGAATACTGTGAAAACATTATAAATACTATGGCTGTGCAAGAAAAATGAAGACTGGTTGGCTCATCAGATGGTTCAAATAATGGACTATGCTTGTGGGATAGGACTTGCCTGGACGTGGTGACAATGGCTGTCTGCTCATTCTCTAGGGTCAAAGGCTGGCATAATTGATGGCTTCCTTATGTGGGACTGAAGTTTGCATGATATTTGCCACCATGATATTTGTGAGCATCTTTTTCACTTCATTGGGCGGAAATGGACTAATTACTTTTATGAAGATGTTCTGTATTTTTTATGACATGACTTTTCTCTTCTATCATCTCAGCATTGAAGAATAATTGGGAAAGTGATATGAAGTATTATGACGAACAACGTAGTGTATGTCTGCGCTAAGGAACTTTCGTAAAGTACTTCAACATAATACAAAAGGTCACATTACAGCTCTTGCGACGTATGCGGAATCCAAAAATAGATCATACGCATTGATTTTACTAGACAAGAGGACCAACATAGAGATAGCTGTTGTCGGATCTAGTTAGAACATGCTTGCTGTGAACTGGTGATTTGGTGGATCACGCGTAAGCCAGTCTTGGTATGCGGCAAGTACGAAGCATATCTGCCAGAAACAGGAATTTGTATTATACAAGAACCAAGCATCATAAAATAGAGTGCCACAGCCAGCTTCAACACTGGCCACTGAATGGGTCACGGTCGTAACAAATGCATCAGCTGCATTGTCCACTCTGACAACGAGAAGCATCGTGAATATGCTTAGTAGCAGCAAAGTTTACGATCGTCGCAATCAAGGATATCGGATTCATCGATCACGCCGACAGAAGGGGGTGGCATGAGCGGACACCTGGCAAGACAGCTGCAGACAATCGAACGAATCAACCATCTCAGATTCATCGATCACACCGACAGGTCCCAGGCACTCCGTAATACTAATTAAGAAGTGGATTTAGAGTATATATCGACGGCCTTCCCATGATCATCTAAGAATCGAAATGATGAAAGAAGATAGTAGAGGCTTATTTAAAATTACTAACTTTCTCGAGACAATGGAAATATCCTTCCTGTCACGGGATTCGGCCATGACACTAATAGACACCTTTCTATTACATTCATAGAACCAAGGTTGGCCAACATCAGCTAATATCCCAAGGTTGGCTTCTGCGACTCTAATATTGATTAGGGAAAGTACAAGGGGGCATTAGATTTTTCTTTTCTCTGTAGAGCCGTTTCCCTTTTACTCCATTTTATCTAATGTCTTTATACGCAAAACCTGCAACTAGAATAGGTACTACTGAACTAAGCGCCTTTTGTAAGTTATCTTGCTGCTTCGCAGTTACATCATTGTTCTCTCGTGTTCAAGCAGTTCCATGACATCTGCCTCATCACAGCATAGCAAGCTTATAGTGGCTGCGGTGGTCACCGAAGGTTAGGCTAAAACCAAATTTTACGTGAGTAGTAGAGTAGTCTAATCAGAAGAGCGCTGCCCCGAGATTAGAGACAAACTCTGATTGCTTGATGGTTCAGCTCTGCTAACACGCGGATCCAGTCAAAGCGGGGCACGAGGCACAGGAGCTCGCAAAGAATGAAGGTTGTTAGGATGAAGGGAACATGATGAACATCAAGTTGCAGCCGACGAAAGCTTGGCGTAAGCTTATGCACCAACCCCAGATCAGCCGCCTGCTTAAAGACAAATGTAACATAATGAACATGAATTAGCCTGCTTTCATTTAACTCGATTCTTCGTCCACAAACAAACAAAGATAGGGAAGGAGAAATGAATAAGCAGACTAGAGTGTAAGCCCTTAAGCTTCTGCTACAGCATTGGGCTCTGCTTCTCCTTCCATCGATTTGTAGTTCTCGCAGCTCATTTACATCCTCATACTCTGCGTATGACATGGTAGAGGACGATGAAGCAGCATGATGTTCCTCCTCCGCGTCGGAAGAGTTGCAGTGCCTGCGTGAAGGCGAAACGACGCTGCGATATGCTTTTGCCTCAATGTACTCGCTGCTTTCAGAAGAAGGCCAATTGCGTCTACAACGGACAGGCACCTCGAGACCGGCGACCTGCTTCAATGTCTGCAACAACAGCAACAACAACCGCTGTCGTCATCGCATCAAGCGCAAGCGCAAGCTGTGCCGCTGTACCATTTTCGATCAACCGGCTGACTGACCCGCTGCCGGTCACCCTTGAGGTTCCGGATCTCGACTTTCACGCTGCAACTTTTGAATTGCATGACAGCGACAACGCCGATTTTGGGTTTTCGAGCTTTGTACCTTGCTTGCCAGTCCCACCTTGTCCAGCCAGCTTTCCGGCTCAGCACTCGATGCGACTGGACGATAGGTCGATACAGATCTACACGCACGACGACTACAGCCATGTCGAGGATATTTGTGTAAGTCTTAGGGATAGGGGAGAGAGAAGAGCAAAGAAAGGCTTTTCTCTAGAATCAACGTCTTGACTGACTGGCGACATAGGACGAGTTCAACGTCGGTCAGCTCAACGACGACACGAGTCGCATCGCGTGTGCCGTCGCCGCCATCCGTAACTGGCATCGTTGCATGGCCTTCTCGTGCAGCACCCCGTTCCTGCACCGGAAGCTTTATTCTCACGACCGGCCAAACCTGATCAGCGACGTGTTTGCGAGCTGCCTCATGTACGCGACCAAAACGGCGCAGACCGAAGACGTGGTCGTGCCGCTGATCGAAAATAAGGCCTGCGCCCTCATCATTGAGTACTCGCGGCACCAGGTCTCACCCACGCTGTCGCTCGCTCGCGTCCAGGCCCTTCTGCTGTATCTGTCCATTCGCGAAGCGCACTACGTCGAGCGTGACCTGCCCATCCTCGAGACCTGGCTCGCCTCTCTCGCGAGCCTGCGTGACCAGTCTCTGCAAGTTAGTCTCGACTCCTTCACTCCGAGCTGCCCTGCTGATTGGAGCAGCTGGATCTTCTGGGAGTGCGTGTCAAGGACCATTCTGGCCGCCTCGTTCTTTATCAATGTGCATTGCTTGATCGCGAGGGGCCAGCACCCGCTCGGAGAATGGACCAGGCCGCACATCTGGACAGCGTCCAAGCGTCTATGGAACGCGGACACGTCGCAAGGCTTTTTCGACACATGGCGGCTGAAGAAGCCTATTGCAGTGTGCAACATCTTCATAAAAGATTTATTGGAGAATGGAGATGGCGACGAAGTTGATGCTTTTACCTCCATGCTTCTGGTTCCGTAAGTTGAAATTAACTGTCTTTCTATATTTTATGGCCGTTAATACTAACCTTGGCTGCAGCTGTCTTGGCCTGACAAACACGAAGCAATGGATTAATAACACAAGAGGACGGACTGTGGAGGATCTTGACGGCTCGGCTTCGGATATGCCGTCAGCATGACTTTGCCATGATTTGCGCTGGATCAAATCTGAAGCATAACAGACTTAGCTTGGCGTTTTAGAAATTGATAACACCTGCTTTTTAGGAGCTAATTTATCTAGATCGAAATTGTCCTATCTCTTTATCTTCGCGGCCTGAGTAGGTGCAGAACCTCCCCCCCCTTCTCTCTCTCTCTCTTTCTCTCTCTGTCGCTCGCTTCATATGTGTGTGTTTGGCTATCTCGAGAAACGATAAAACATCCTTGAACAAGCTGCAGATATGACAAAGAACCATGTTCAAGATGTTTTTGCTAGCTAAAGCGTCTCAGCCCAAAGAGCATATGAGCGGCCAGGCTTTAGCGAATAAATTTGATTGCTAGTCAAAGTGACGAATAGGACAGAATGCACAGTAGAGATATCTCTGTTCATAATCTTTGTCGTCAAACCTGGTGTATGGAAAAAATTAAGCTACATCAGTACTCCGACGGATATTTATTGGGTCTAGCTCAAAAAGATGGACTTATTATAGTCTTTGCACTGCATAAGCCTATGTCTGATGAGAAACGTTGAGCTGATCAAATATCATGGGCTATCTTTCGAGCTTTTGAGCTTTGACTATGCACCTCAAGGCAGCTGTTATTTATAGTCTGCAAAAACGGGAGTGGCAATTAACAGCGAATGAAAGGTGGAATGAACATCGAGGACTACACCAGAGTGCAGCAGAATTCCACTCTTGTATTATTTAAAAGAGGCAAAACCGGCGCACAAGGCAACGGCGCATCTTCGACGGTGACGAAAGGCTGGAGGTAACTTAGCTCAATAGATAGACCATCGACGGCCAGGATGACTTGCCAGTTGATGTCCCTTACAGGCTTATGTATTTCAAGCAGCGATCTCGCGACCTGGGAAGATCGTTAGTCCCCAAAACTTGCGAGAATTATATCTACTTCGGCTTGCGCTACGTTAAACACGTCCTCAGCTTGGAACTGAGTTTTCCAGCCCAATGTCTAATCATTTTCAGCGTACAGCACGCAGCTGGTCGACGGACTTAGGCCAAATAAGAATCTTATTATGCGGAGGCTCTGCTCATAGGATAAACTCACGCCTGCCTCGATCGCACAGCTGTAAAAGCGGGCTCACAGCGAGTTTGACATCCACAGTCCGTTTGCATCTCATCAGCCCGCTGCGGTTCTGAGTCTAAAGATGCTTGGTCCGTCCTGCGATGGGCCCGTGACATTGACCCATATCGAACTTTTGATGGCATCAATGTTCGACGTGCCAAACTCGTGAACTATACCACCAGATCAAGATCGCCGTCGAGCTTAGATCAGATCACAGAATGGCAAGATACAACGGTGTTATAGCCCAGGCATGAGCCTGGCTTGCAGAGAGGCAAGCGAGACGAGAAGCTAGGAAAGGTGACTCTGTACACGCAGCGGACAAGCTGAGAAAAGTCGGCGCGCACGCGACCCTGATTAACTTTTCAGAAGACTATCTGGCCGGCTTCCAAAGCGTCAAGGCCGGACAGTCGCAGTGGACAGTTTCGTATGGGCTGATCGTGTATTTGTGGGATTTACCGGCAGACGGGAGAAGAGAGGGACTGGGTTCAGCCAAGTTTGGACAGCATATCTCTGCGCTCGGCTGAGCAACTCGCCATCAGAAAAGCCAAGACGGGCTGCTCCAAGTGCACTTGGGTCGATTTAGAGATTTGAAGCTGAGTTGTGTCGAGCTGGCAAGTCATGGTGACGCAGAAGACCATCACGCTGACCTCACGACATTGGACCTTTGTCCGGGTTGACGGGGTGCAGCGTGGAGTCGCCAAACACTCGCGCCGCGCCGCCTTCCTTGGACGAAGCGATCGCCACAGGTCCATCTTGCTCGTTTCTCATGTGTATATGCTGCTGCGAGGGAGCAACAGTGATGAGCGTCCGCGTCGTGCATGGGCGGACGTGATGTTTTGGGGCATCTCAGCTCCGACGGTCTGCCAATGGCGCCCCGGTGGTTCAGGCCCAAGCACATGGATCATGTAGTACAAGTGAAAGCAAAAGGACATCCCGTCCACATCAAAGTTCGTCCGCCCCCTCGTCCTCTGTTGTTGACTCCCTGAGGGCAATGACGGCGTCTGAATGGCGCTCGCTTGCTGCTTGTTCTCATTTGACGTTCCTCGAAGCGCGTCTGCCTCGTCTCCTCGACGTACGTCCTCGATACACACGTGCATACGAGTTTGTGCTCGCCTGTCATTCTCACATTGCCACATCGCCGTCGAATGCGTATTGAATCAAAGCTCCGCTGGCCCTTTTTTTATTCTTTCGGACCTATTTCCTTAGTGCGCCTGCGTTTCCAATGCGCTGCGAAATCCGCGACGACCTCCGCCCTCAGTCATGGATGGCCGCCCATCCATGTCTCCACGCCCTTGACTGAGCCCTGACACAAGTTGCCGACATACGCTCGTTACCAAAAATATCAGGAGGAAGATATAACAGCAACCATTCGTCTGGCCTTGTGTCTCTCGCAGAAGTAGTCGCCTATCGATCTACCGCATCCAGCTCCGAAAACAGAAGGCAAGGTTGACCTTCTGCTATCTGGTAAGTTGGTTCGCCCGTCCTCTTGAATGTCCTTTGCATTCCGCTTGGAAGGCCCTCCCGCCGTTGTCCACAACCAGTTCTTTGCATGTTCTCAAGATCGCTGTATCTGTCACCCGTGGTTGCACACAACGCTCAGTTGAATGGCCAATCTTAGCATTAATATGGCAGCTTTCTAGCGTTCGCGGCTGTGGGGAAGTGGGGATCTTTGAGCCAAGTTGCCCATGGCCACGCTTTGCCCAAAACCATCTCCTGCTTGAGCGAAGTACTTCAATGGCCGTATGCTGTTTTTTATGCCGTGCAACCGCTGCGTTTACTTGCACGATGACCATCGACGGAGTGGTAATTCATCATTTAGGTTACCAACTTTGCGCTCGCTTTAGCCTTCGTTCTGCCGAATTGCACTCCGTGCTCGCGCTAGCCTTTGGTTCCTTTCTAACGAACATTTAACGTACCAACCCGGACGAGGCTCCGTGAGCACTTGCTGCGTTCACAACCAAAAACTCTCTTCGTCTTCAACCTGTGGGTTTTTTTGGGAAGTATTCTATCTTCTTGTGCATTGCACTCGAATTTGCATCAGCGCGGCTCGATTTCTTTTTTCTTTTTTTTTAAATTTTTTCTTTCATCGAAATTACGGCTCGGCAGCTTGGACTTACCCAACGTCGCCACAGCGCATCACAGATCGCTCATGACCGCCGGATATATATTTGGACTCAGTGTAAGCTTTGAATTTCTTGCTCCCCAGTACGCTCATGGTGGTTGTCGACACATGCCGATTGCCCTAAATCTGGCCGAGCAAGAAAGGTTCCGCTGACCTCCTCAGTGCAATATCAGCAGCCCGCAGCTAGCGCTTGCTTTCGCTTAAGTGCGGAATTTTGCTTTTGGAGTACAAAATAAGCATCATTCACCTTGTACTCACTTCGCTTGTTCGAGCTTCAACGTATAGACGGAGAATTTGATGTTGTTCCAAGCCTTGAGCCGTTCCTAGTCATCATCCTTCAGCATTTGCGCGAACGGTACGCTATTTTGAGCGCAGCCCATCCTCGCGACATACAAAGCACTTTTAAAAGCAAAAATTTTGTAGTTGGCGGCTCCAAAGCACTCATCAATTGACTAGGAGCGAAGGCCGATCTTGAAAATGCCTGGGACGTACTCCCTGCCACATATCTATACTGCAGGAGACGATGCATTGCGAGCTGTACGCGTGCTCGATTCGTCCAATCACATCGTGCTGTTCACGCCGACGTCTCCTCGAACGCACGAATATTACTATCAGCCACTCGCGGAAGCCATCTCAAGGACGCACGGCAAAAATGTATTCGCCATGGATTACACCCCGCCGACCAACAAGAACCGGTATCTGCCATTTGACCACCGCCACGAGGCGGCCCTGATGGACAATTCTTGCGCCGCCGTCATCGTCGTAATCCGAGACGACTCCACCAAAACCCGTGGCTGCCAGATGGATTTTGCTAGGAAAGTATGGGACGTTGCGTGCGCTGAACAGGACATTCCAGGGATTTTGGTAGAGATTGGTGGCAGCCGTCGCCTAGTCGGTGGCTGGAAGACGATACTATATTCGAATATCATGAGTGAGGCCAGCATGCAAGAGCTGGCCCAGTTGATCTTCGGATGCTGATCAGCTCGCGACATCCGTTGCAACTCTGGCTTTTCATGAACACGATTGTATGACAATGCAGCGTGCCGGCTCTTTCGACGTTTGAAGATGAGTCCGGCTCAGTTCTCATGTGATTTGAAGCAGCCAGGGTAGGGTCGGTCTCATCATAAAGATATTTGACACGATATCAGAACGAGACTCGCTCTGAGTTGGCCATAGTCCTCGGTGCCTCGCTGACCGCAGGCTCCTGTCGTCAAAGTATGCTTGGATTAAGCATTTATTCGACCTTTCGTCCATGTTATGTCTACTGCAGTTGAACAATAGTGAGAATCTCCTGGGCGAGAGCAGCTGAGGCATCCCGACAGGGTTTCGATGGGATAATGGAAGAGCTGCACATAGCGGCGTGAAGAAATGAGCATGTATGGCACATGACTTTTACGACTCTACATACGAATGGAGAATGCATGAATACAGACTGTCTCTTGATGCCTAAGTTGAATCAACCCCTTCTGCATAACGAAAGTCCCACACCTCTTTATTGTTGGATCAGCGGATAAAGAAGACTGCAATTCGACATCGATTGCAGTGGAAACGATTTGACGGCATCTGTGCATCTTGTAAAGGAGTATTGTCCTTCACATGCCTTCTGTACGCTTGGACGATGCGCCAAACGGTCTTTTGACGGGAGACACAAGCTCATTGACCTAAACTCAAACTCCGATGCAAACATTGGCGCGGCTATCTCCCGATTGAATCGCCTCCAAGAGCGAGCGCGGAGATCTGGCTGTGCGAAATCCTGCTGATACTCGTGCCTGCGTACCTCGCACGTACTATTTCATCTGTGACACATGCTTTGTTGCGCACTTTCCTTGCTCTCCCGATAAGGCACAATTGTTTTGTTGGTTCGGATGCTACCGCCAGGCGGCATGAGTTGACGAGGCTCTCGCACCAAAGTGCTCATGGACCCCCGGCGCCGCCTCTGCGCAAAATGGAGCGCTGGGAAGCAGCGGCGTCTTCGGTCGTCGCTGCGTGTGTGCTACTCAAGTTGCCTTAGCTGCGCCGTGCTCGGCTGGTTCGATTTTAATGCTGCCCTCTTTCTCGGCGTGATCGGGCTTCTTCGCTGCGTCTTCCATACCACACTGTTCCGTCCCCTGGGCTTTGGTTGTGCCGTACTTCTTCCTCGCCCTTTTCGCGGCATTCCTCTTGCGCCGCCGAATAAGCTCTTGTCGCCTCCCTAGCCTGCTGTCCTTGCCCTTCTCCATCTCCTCCAGTCTATCCTGCAGCTTCCTGATTGCCAGTTTTTGATTATGGTCCCGCGACCGCGTCTCCTGGCACTTGATCACTATGCCCGACGGCAAGTGCTTGATCTGCACCGCCGAATTGGTCTTGTTGATCTTTTGACCGCCAGGTCCAGAGCCCTTGAGGTAGGCTATCGTGATGTCTTTATCGGGAATGGGCGTGCGAGGTGGTAGAGGCGACTTCGAGCCCCCGTTCCAAGTCGAGGATGTCGAAAATGTACAAAGGGCATTTAGAGACGGCGTGCAAAGACGCGTGGGGCGTGATAGGGCTTTCAACAGTACCCTCAGCGATGCTGCTGGACTCAATGGCAAGGTCATCGATCGTGGTTCGTAATGTTTACCCCCTCATCTGGTAAATTTTCCCGCGCACGTCAAGTCTCTGGGAGCAGGACAAGCGGGTCCTCAGCCCTGCACCGTGCACCCGATCAATGTAACTTACCCTGCCAAGTCCGTTCGCGTACGGTGGACGTGATTTTAAACTCTTTAACTTAGCCCACGTCCCCTGAAGGAACAACCTTGACCCGTTTGTTCCAAAACCTCAGTCTCCCAATTGCATCTCCTCTTGTGCGCACGATTCGTTCTTTTATCGTTCAGTCGCATCATATTTCACAGCACAGAGCGATCATGGTGGAGATCAATTTCTTCGCGGCCCTGCTATCCACAGTACTCCTTAGCCTCGTGACTGTGGCTATCATCAGGCCCCAAGAGACGTACAAGTACTTCCAGCGCAAGCGCTACCGATATGATGTCACCCTCGCGCTTTACATGCTTACGCCCACAGAGTGTTTCATCTTCAGTACGTGGTCATACTCCTGCATCTCCCAGCGAAGCCAGATCGTTCCGGAAGGCTCACTAACCTCGCGAACACCAGACTCTATCCTCTTCCTTACCCTGACGCTCCTCACAATAGCGGCTTGCCTATACCTACCGGACCATGTCTCCACAATCACAAGGAGGGTGTACTACTATTGCTTCGGAGACAACGGTCTCGCCGGAGCTGCCGCAGCAACGGCCCTCAAAAATGCCAGCGTTATTGCGGAGAGCGTCGCCACTGCAGCTAGTAGGAAAACAAGTGGAGAAATGGCAAGAGAGATGCTGAACGTTCACTGAGTCGAGCCACTTCAAAACAAGGCATGGGAGCTTGGATCGTGTCCTTGTAGTATCAAAGCATAGCGCAGGAGTTAAGGGTATTTTTGGTGTCAATAGAGCAGTGTATATTCGAACGTCAATCTTCATTTCTATTTCACTTTCCAATCATAGAGAAGCGCGTGGCATCTGCTACGACAGTCATATAGTCACGTTCTTTGGCTTTCCCGTTCGACTAGTTGCGATGTAGCTGTGCATCAAAGTGCTCGTGCTCATGCTTTCCGAGCCCCACGCTATGTATGCAAGTGGTATCCAGCAGTGGCGCTCTTCTCACAGCTGGCATAGCCATGCATTTAGCCTATCCCCAGGCAGCAAATACCTCATTCTTGGCTGCATCTCGCATCACGGATCAGTGAGCTTCGCCTGCACATCGTAACGGTCGTTTTCGGGGCCTGGTTGTGGCCACAAAGGCTTGAGGTAGCCTGCCTCGTCGACCTTGAATGGGAACGCCTTCATGTACGCGCTCACGTTGCTGTACGAACTTACCACGTCAAGATAGCCTGCAACCTGCTCTAGCACGCTACCACACTTGATGTTCCTATCGCTATCAGGGCCTTTGAACTCCGGCACCAGGATGTGGTTAAATGGCTGCGCGGTGGCTTTAATTGCGGAGTCGTCTACCAAGATCGTATTTGACTGACTCCATCGGCCCCCTTGTAGGTAATATGGGTGACGTCTCTGGATCCGATCGTCATTCCAGACCCACTCAAGATGCTTGTACACCACAATTTTCTGATTGTATTGGCGAGAGGTGAGACCAAAGCTAAGACGATCCCACAAGGCAACGACGTTCCGAATTTGATGAGTGCTAAGAAGGCCTTCAAGCATGAGATGAGCATTTGCTGGCTGCGCTGTGGTCCAGAACATGACGTGAAAAGATTCGAAAACGTTACCGAGAAATTCGTCCAGGTGCCTGCGGCGTTGAAAATGGTCAGATCGCTTCTTACTTGGCCTGAAAAGCAGGGTGCCATTTAGATCGAGGATCAGAAGGATCGGCTGGTAAGTTTCCAGCCTAGTGGGATCCTTTTCGCTCGCAGCCCTTATGTACTCTGCGGTCGGCTTGGGAGCAGGAATTGCGAAATGTGGTGGTCCAAGCATAAACGCAGTATCCGGGTGAGGCTCGAATTTAGTTTTCATATCCTCGCAAACTAACGTTTGTTTGGTATCCACTGTCCATAGTGTGTAGCTGTCTGTCAGCGTTCTGGGATCCACATTGCATGCGTTGTAGCCAATCTCCTTTCTACGATACGCCTCTGCTATCGTTAACTTTGAGTCCTTCTGAGTCGTCTGAGTTGCTCCCGGATGAGAAGGATGAAGAAAGTGAAAACGAGTCGACGCATGGAATCGACCGTGGGCGCGCTGGCCTCGCTTGTCTTCCATGTTTGCGACAGTGTCCAGAGCTGACTGCGCTGAATCTAACTTGTGAACCGAATTACTATTTCTTGCTCCGCTGTATTTGCTGCTTTCATCCATCGTTGGCCATGAGTGCGTGTGATGTCAACGGGTTTGCCAGTAGCTTTTCACCATGCGCTTTTATGTAGACGATTTAAGGGTTGGTCAATATTTGTTGCAACTGGTTGAAAATGTCCAGATCGTCGACAGACAGAAGTGCGCTGCACGTACGAGTCATGCAGTGACTTAGACTACCTAGTTCTATGACATATGATTTTGGTACACTACAGATCGCCGCATAGAGCACCTGCCTTATATATTCGGGTGAATGTGGCGTCCAAACTTTTTTTCACTTTCATTGCTAAATTACAAGTTGTAAAACTGTTTTTCACGATTAAGTCCTGTTCAAAAGCAATCTTACGCATCTCCAGTAGCAACGACTGCATAGCTTCAGCATCCAAGTATCGCGGAACGCTCGTCCAATGAGGCCGCACCGTGACCAAATGGAACGCTGCGTGCTTTTTAACAGAGAACAACAACGATATACTCCTTACGAACTTTCTGACTGGACATTTAAAACACCAACGCCTGATAGCGAAGACAAGCAAGAACCATTGTTAACGCTAGCTAGCTTAATATCGTTGAAGCCTAGAAGGGAATTGTATGTTGTGGGCTGGTGTTTCAAAAGGCAAACAAAGCAACGACTTCCCTGGTTCTGTGTTCGGAACCGGACAACAGTAACGGTGGAAAAGTCGCGCATAATTCTTATTCGTGCAGGGTGCTCTCTGAGTCGTTGTCTTGAGCAAGGTTAGTAGGGCTTCGATCTCTTACTTCGAGGCCATTGGTAATCTCTTGCGCTTTACCTTCCTGCTTTTTCTCGAGCCTCTCTACTACTTCAACCTTCTTTTGTTCGGCTTTCGTGGCTTCCACCCTGGGATCCGGAACGGCTTCACCAGCAACGTTCCACTCTTGCATCGACCTAATGAGATCCACAGCAAGCTGACCGTTCTTAACAAGAGCCTTGCCCCAGTGATCCGGGATGCCACTTTTACTAACAACAAGCATCCGGGCTATGCTGCCCACGAGTAGCTGACGCAAAGGGGAGTCAGCTGTTGTGTTGGCATATATGTATTGAACCCGCCTAAGGCTGGGGTACGAGTCAGTAGTGCGATAGAAGCGACGTATTGCGTTCAGGACGTCTTTCACGAGTGCTGCTATGCTCCATTTTTCTCCCATGAGGTAGAGGTCGTACAGATCAGTCAAGTCTTCTTCCTTCTCTGGGGTAGGGACGTTGGAACTGTAAAGCCAGCCAACGAACAAGCGAAAAGGAGCGTCTTCTTCATCCGGAAGCCCAAATATCTTGCTGCTCGAAGAAGTGGCACCTTTCTTGTAGAAGATTGAAGAGAAGAACGTGGACCGATAGCAGAGCAATTTCTCATGTAGAACCCAGTGCGTGTTGTTTGATCCGACGTAAACATCTACTAAGGCATGAGTCAAGAGCCTAATTTGTTAGAAGCCTTGCATATGATCACTAATGTTGGGCCATATTTACTCATGGATCGGCTTCTCCGGCTGTGCTTCATTCACCGTCTCAGCCATATTTTTGGCGCTTTGTCCTGAACAGAGAGTAATAAAAGCGCACAAGATTTTATTTAAAATCAATGCAATTGGACAATTATAAGAGGACAAGAGAAAAGATGCACTTGCAGCAACTACGAGCGCACTATGAAACAAAAGTGACTGATATTGAAGCCAAACGTGAGGAACTTTTTATGAGCAAAGCAACAGTATGCGCAATGACGCAACGTCACTGTAACATAAGTTGGAACTCCTTGACATGGATGAATGTGAAAATCAAGGAATACTACGCGGTTCTCCCGCGCACTAGCTTTAGCGGCTTCTTGCGGGGAAACGTGAAAAATCGCTTCAGTTTCATCATCTCGATAGAGTCAAATTCAATAAGTCAGTGGAAACATAAACGTCGCCCCAAAAAGGCGTGAAAATCGTCTTCAACAGTGCGATAGCTGGTAGACAAAGATCTATAGTATTCAGTCACGTTCACTCGCGACTATTCTACATGGTTCAGAGGCAATCCACACTCGCCTTTCTGCACTTCCAGTCACAGGATCAGGAACAGTTTCCGCGTGTGAATTTTCTTCAGACCTTGGCATCCTTTTGATTTCCTCTACCATTGCATCAAATTGATACTCCCCGGAAGATAGAACATAGATTGCCATGTTTGAGACTTCTGTTTCTCCTGGGGCAATTGGTTGTAATATCTTCTGCATGAGTCCACTCCAGGCTAGCCGTTTGCTGAGGTCAAGGGCTAATTCCGGTGGCTGATGTGGTAAACTGGGGAGCAATCGCAGAATCGGGGAGATCGTTACGTTTGACCGATTTCTTACACGTGTCTCCAGAACGAGGTAATCATCCACATGCACCTTGAATGCTCCTGATGAGTCGGTCAGGACCCCCTCTCCTCCAACTATACTCAGCTGGATGTGCAGGTCATCTAGTCTCAGCGCATCTACCATTCTTGGCGTCAATCTCAATGTGTTTCTCAGATCAACAACGCCATGTTTTGAACTGTCCAACTGTTTCCATGTTACGCTTAGCATGTTCAGTAACGCCTCCCGATACCAAAATAGCTCACGCGTGATTCTTTCCGTTTCAGGGGATATTGAATTGGCGCTAAGAACAAATTGTCGCTCATTTGCGGAGCGAATGCGAGCATGTGGGTTGCTGATATAAAGTTTGGGAATGAATATAGTCATCCGCGCGATGTGGCCTGGTTTTATAAGCTCTTGTGTGTTCTGGAAGGTGTTCGTGAGCTCTGGTGAATTTGATTTTTCCTGATGAATCGTGATCTCGAGTGGTGATGGCCATGTGTTCCGAACATCCAGCAGGAGGAGACAGTGGTCTTGTTGATGGTCTGTCATTGCTCTAGCGTGACCCAAGACTGCTGCATCTGATATGGGAAGCACATCAAATCTCTGCAATTGAACACTCGAGTTGACTGTTATAGAAACAGGCTGTACGACTTGCCGTGTATACAATATGTCCCTGGCATCCAGAATTGGCCGATGTAGAGTGGCATAATCTATTACAATGAATGCCTGTGTGAGGCCCGGCTTCCCCAACAGTTCAAAGGATAGCTCACAGCATTGATTTGGTGCAATTACATGAGGGGTCCCTCCGACTAATCTGATCGCGGGTCGATGAGCGAGTTGGTATTCCAGCTCATACAATTCTGCAGAATTGAGGTTCTTCTTCGAGATAGCGTCTTCCATAGCAGCAGTGGTAGAGTCGTTGAACGAGACGTGCAAAAAGTCGATAGAGACATACTCTGATACGTTTTGCACGGTGACATTAAAGGTTAGGCTTTCGCCTTCTAAGAGCATGGCAGATGATTGCGGCAGCGAAATCGAAATTACCTCCAAGACCGCTTGCGAAGGAAGAACTGTCAAAAGCACTGTTTTAGGTTTTGGAAAATCTTTTACGCTGATTGGAGGTGATGCTATCGATGCATTTCTGGATGTTTGATCGTCTTCAGGGTGCAATTTTAGAAATCCAATGGACTTGAGTTTTAAACTGTATTCCGGCCTCCATATGTGCGAGAAGATAGGAAAGGCCTTTTCGCGACAACCGCGGATCTTCACGACACAGCTGGTCAGCTCATATTGTCCCGGACTTGGTATTGCAACTAGAATTGAGAAGCTTTGTGTTCGATAGGGTCGCAATAATTGGTTATTTGATAACCCACATTTCAACCCACTGACCAATAGACTGATGGATTCGATGTAGATCTCGAATTCATACAGGTTTTGTAAGGTTACGATAAACTCTCGGTCTTCATTCGCGACAAGCAAGTTCTGAACAGCATTAGGTACGGGTTTCTTGAGGAAAGGGTTATGAATGAATGGTCCTTGCTTCGCAGTCTGTTTCGTTTCCGAGGCAAATAAATCCGATTTTCTGCGTGAGTGCATCGTTAAAGAAGGCGAAGCATCAATAAGAAGAACCCCCCGAACAAGAAACTCATCCCAATAATCTACATCGATGTTGCGGAGACCAATCAGTTTCGCATCGGTAATTGTTTTCACCATCGTGCCTGATAATAGCAACTGCTCCTCTCGAGAAAGCGGATTTGATACATCGTTTACGTCACTGCTTGGTGATGATCCAGGGTTTGCCACTCTTAACAATGCTGTTGTCCAGGAAAGAGTTCCGTATGGGTCAGGTAAAGCCTCCCAGAGGGAAATACAAGCACGCAAAACATCCAACTTCAGATTTACACTGCCAAACGATCTCAATGTCAAGTCGTCAACTAAACGGTCCAGCAGAGGTCCAAGTTGATTTGTATCTTCACCATCGGCGTCATGGAGAAGAATGTGTGAATCGAATAAATACGATCGAGTCTCTGGAATGCCGTATACTTGACAAAGCATATTCAAAAAGTTGTCTAGACCATAAACTGAGGTAGAATTACCAGGAGCAAAGAGCGCTGATTGAGCAAAGCCACTAGCTGAGGGATGAACCCCTGCCTCTGCAGCTCCAGATCTCTTCTCTTCATGTATAGCACGAACAAGAGCTCGAATGTACTCTTTCAGAAGCATGGCTTTTTTCCTTTGCAAGCCAAGAATTGATAACACAGATGCTATCCCTGCCAATATCGTGGCTTCATCGGTGGCGGAAAGACCAGATGCTTCTGGCAGCCCGGGCATTGCTTTCATAACCATGTCAGCTATCTTCGTCTTTCCCACGTCAAGGAAAGGTTTGGTTCTGTTATCGAATGATGTGCCTTTCACCAAATAAGCGAGTACATCGCTGCTCAGTATTCCTTGTCCTAGAAGCAAGCCTGCTTGTATTCTGGATAATCTTATGATGCATTCTGAGTACGCAAGCTGAGGAAGGCATTCGGAGGAATTACCTGCAGAGCGATTGTAGAGATTTATGACCATTTTGATAAGATCGGGTATCATAAAAGCCAACTCCTTTCTCGCTGGAGATATGTCTGCTGATGGTGAGTCGCTAGATGTTGAAGTAGGTGACGTAATTTGAGCAAGTTTTGAGGAAGTCCGGTCAAGGCTTGGGTAACAAATTGGTGGAATCTTGAATGGTATCTGCGCCCAAGACAGGAGAATCAGACATGTTATCATGTTCTCAAAAGCCTTTGCATGCCATATATGATCACCGAAAGATCGGGCAAGAGCTGCAGACTCGGCAAAGCCATGTAATGCATCGTTCCACCGACCGGCGAGCATATATAATGAGCTTATGACAATAGAGATTCTACACTTTCCTTGGTCTCGCTTTCTTTCATCAAGTGAACCAGGTCCGAATCCAGAAATAGAAACCCTGTCTTGGCAATTGTCTCTTGATTTTGATGAAATAATATTTCGTCGGTTGTCCATTGAATTTTCGCCTCCTATGAGCTCATCAAAAGTACGCGGGGGTGGCGATCTCGTTCCACTTTCTGGTGATCCAGATTGTGCATCAGACTCGTTGTTAGAAGGCAAAACGGGCATCGACATTCGATGTGAATAACTCGCGTTGAGAAAAGTGGTTGGATCTCCATTAGACACACTCGGCTGATAAGAAATAAACGATCTCATTGCATCGCCAAGGACCATACCAGCCCCTGAAGATGTCACCGACGGAGAGGCCATTGAAGGAAGTGCTTTCAGTGAGACGGCCAAAGTGGTCATCTCGGCTAACAGATTGGAAGTAATATCACACATAAACCTTCGCATACTCATGTCCTGGGGATTTCCATGAAGCTGGATATGAATCGCGTCCGCATGACTAGTAGTGATATCGGGCATTGGCATCGAGTGGAAAACAAGCAACTTGCAGACAAGAATTCGCGGATAGTCTTCTTCAAAGATTTTGAGGGTAGCCATGGTTAAGTTTTGAATTTTCTCGAGGCTGTCGTACTCTCTTGCATCTACGATTCCAAGAACCAATAAGGGTTCGCGGAAAAGCTCAAAAGGCGAGAGTGAGAGCTGTACATTGGAAGGGGCTGATGTCATGAAGTCATAGAGGACATATCCATCTGGAACTTCGAGAGGAGAAAACAATGCTAATGATGGTTAGCTTATGCCTGGGTACGTATCAAGCTTTGCAACCATACCTCGATCAGGTCTCGGATCAGGCGTTACTTCCCTGAGACGAACAGTGCAATCGTGTGCGATCAGTTCAAAAAACATGTAGAATCGCTCCTTTCTGATCCTCCCAACAGGCAGCACAAGTGCCCGCACTCTTGCCGGTGCAGAGGGCAGAAAGGTGTCCATGGAGAGGTAGGTGTGCAGCTAGAATTATTCAAGATATGCCTGCGTAAAATTCAGACGGGCATCTCTCTTGTCGGAGGTGATGAGGAACAAACAACAGTTTAGAAGTCCACTAGTCGCCAAGATATGTATTAAAAGGAATCGAGTGGACCACAACGAGACGTCGGCCCCAACGATCGAGCCATCAATTAGCATTGCTAGTTTTAGCAGCTCAGTTTGAACACAGAACGCTTGCCACCGCCATTTTCAAGATTCGGTGTGCTAGCACAGCCACACTCATGCACACCTGCTTTCGGTGTTTCGGTTCATTTTCCTTTCGGGTTAGAAGTCAGGACCCTCGTGTGCACGGGCCTAGGTGTGCACGGGCAAAGTTCTGAAGTGCATTTCTCACCCAAATTATAGATATCTATCCAACCACCACTATGGATGATGCAATAGCCTATCTAAAGGCTAATCCAGGTACGCAGATTTAGGCTGCAGCAACGTTGTTTAATGTAAATCGTTCTACTTTAAGCAGAAGGTTCAGAGGGGTGACCGTTTCTCGACAGCAGTATAACGATTAGATCAACAAGAACCTCACCAAAGCATAAGAAAAGAAGCTTATAGCCTATATAAATAAGCTCACTGATCGAGGATTTGCACCTACCTATCCAATTGTACGAACATTGGCCTATGAAATAGCCAAAAAACCGGTAGGCAGAAACTGGCCGAAAAAATTTGTCCATCGGCATTCCGATCGGCTATCATCCGACTATCTTGCAGCCATAGAAATTAGCCATACGAAGGCTGATTCAGTGAAAAATTATGGAAATTGGTTTAACCAAGTATTATTACCTAATTTATCGATGTGGTGTGATCCTAATAATATAGTATAGGTTTTCGCTAAAGTTGATCAATATCACGTGCTACCGAAAAACATCTACAATATGGATGAAAAAGGCATGATGATTGGCAAGCTAAAGGCTCATAAGCGTATCTTTACTTCTGCATCGATCAAAAGTGGCAAAATCCTTGGGGTGGCTGAGGATGGCAATCGAGACTGGATTACGATGGTAGCCACCATCTGTGCAGATGGCAGTTGGGTGAGGCCTTTGCTCATCTTTCCAGCCAACTCCAAAGATGTACATGATTCTTGGATTCACGCAGTAAATTGGGAGATAGATGATATCGTATTTACTGCATCAGAGTCAGGATGGACCAACGATCAACTAGGTCTCCGGTGGTTGACCTATTTCGAAACCATATCACGTGCCAAACTAGATAATCTGGAAGATTATCGATTGCTCATCCTAGATGGCCATGGATCACACTTAACTACCAAGTTTTTCGACCTATGCTTCAACAATAGGATCATTTTGGCAGTGTTTCCCCCTCATGCAACGCATAGGCTGCAGCCACTGCATATTGGGATGTTCAGGCCGTTTGCAATGGCCTATAGCCGAGCCCTCGATAAATGGATCACAGATAGGATGGGTCTATGCAGGTACATAAAACGTGAATTCTATGAGGTTTTCTGGCCGGCCTATCTGCAATCATTCACCGAGGCCAACATCCTAAGTGCCTGGCTGAAATCCGGCCTATGGCCTCAGGATGCCTTGAAGATTATCCGTACCATCAATCCAGCACCCTCTAGGCCAAACACTGCTAGTTCAGGCTCATCCAGTATATCTATTTATGCCTTTAGGCAGGTCAAACGAGAGCTCAAAACGGCCATGCAGGGGGTAGATGATCGTATAGCTAAAAGGATAGGTGAGGTGCTTGAGCAGTACCAGTTTGCATTAACTATTGCTGAGCATGAGAGGGATTGCTATGTACAAGCAGCTATTACAGAATTAGAGAGGTGATGTACTGGGGAAAATGGTTCATACTCTGAAGGGAATCACGTGACACAGGAGCAAGGGTCTTAGATGTCATATGATATGGCAAGGACATATAAGAAGAGAAGGATAAGGAAAGATAAAAGGGGGAGGAAAACACCACAAACAGCAAGAACTCTAATTGTTGAAATTGAATCGTCCTACAGTACAAACACGTCACTCTGGAAGAATTGAGACTGTTAGTCAACGCAGCGCGTCACCCAACGCGTGTGGAACGCGAGATAACGATCCCATGGCCCCAGGAGGTGACATGGCCGACACCAATACAGGAGCATGCTACTCGACTTACGGGGCACCTTCGGAACGTACTGCTTCATCTCGATCGCGAAAGAGACCATCCAATAACCTCAGAAGAGATGAGAATAGTTATAATGGCTACAATCTCCTTGGTCGGAAAGGTTGCGAGGACCCCTGACATGACGACGGTGCATCAGAAGATAGATATCATACATACTGAGATGGCTCAGATCGCGAACGGAAGAACGATAGAAAT